GCTAAGTTGTTGTTGCTGACACTGTACTTAAAAGCATCACTAATATCCCAAGGAAAAGGCAAATAACAATGCAATAATAATAATCTTTGCCTTTGATACAGCACTTTTCACTTTGGAGAGCATCTCAAAGTACTTCACAGGATTTACTATAAAGTGCAGTGGTTGTATTTCATTTTGTAGGTAGACAACATATCATAACATATCAATCACTGGCTCAAGTCTATTTCTGGTGCCCTCCTTTTGCACTGGTCTATGATAGTATCATACAATAACAAAAAAAATCCTCATATCAAAACACATTGGATTATAAAAAGGCAGACAAATGTATTTGTACCCTGAGGGAAAACAAGTGCAATGATAATTTTAAATTAACTGGACACAACAGTACACAACAGGCTCCCAAATGGCCTTTAGGTAAGGCCTGACGTTACACTAGATTTAAAGGATAAGTTATCAGTAAATGTTCAGCTAGCTGATCTCAGCCAGGATGAAGGTGCCTCTGGGCATATTATCCAAGGTTTCAGCTTTAGATAATTGTCTAATGGAGTCCTGTAGCTCAGTGGTTAAGAGCACTCGCCTTGCAAGAATACCGATTCCCCGGCAGGCGAAAACGTTGGGCAAGTTTCCTGACTTCACATGCCTCTGTTCACCTAGCAGTAAGTAGGAACCTGGTTGTTAGTCAATTAGCGGATCACTTTTCCGGGGGTAATAATCCCTTCAAAAAATTAAAAAATAAAAAATTTGGTCACTCAATCCATGTGGGACACTGCTGTGCACAACTGGCTGCCACATTTTGCCTACAAAATAGTCAATTCACTTTATAGTATATTCTGTGAAGCGTCTTTTCCAGTGACTTTAGCCCCAAGAGCGATGCTCTCCTGTGCCACAGTAAATCACCTCAAGAGCACCTATTATTCGAGTCACATAGCGTAGTGGTTATAGCACTTGTCTCACAAGCATTTCCCAGACTGGGTGAAACCTTAGGCAACGAGGAGTCCTGTAGCTCAGTGTCCCATTTCCAACCTACCCTTCCTTGCCAAAGTCCTGGAACCCATTGTTGCAGGTCAACTTCAATCACACCTCCTCCTTTGGTTTTTGCCCTGCCCACAGCACAGAGACAGCGCTTGTCAAAGTCACAAACGACATCCTCTCTATCTGTGACCAGGGTTCCCTCTGCCTCCTCGTCCTCCTGGATCTCTCAGCGCCTTGGGACGTCCTCCTGACGTGAAAGCGCTTTATAAATGGAATCTTGTTGTTGTTGTTGTTGCTGCATTCGACACAGTCGACCACGCCAGCCTCCTCCACCACCTCTCATCCCTCATCCACCTTAGTGGGACTGCACTCATATGGTTCGAGTCCTACTTAACCAACCGCCTCCATTTCATCTCAGCAAATGGTTTCTCCTCCCGCCCCCGCCTGGGCTCCTGCGGGTTACCCCAGGGCTTCATCCTTGGCCCTCTTCTTTTCCTTATCTATATACTCCCTCTGGGCGATGTCATCCGCAGGCACAAAGTAAATTCCACATGTATGCAGATGACACACAAATCTACTTTGCCTTCTCCAGTACCAACTCCAGGTCCGCCGATGTTCTATCAGCTTGTTTGACAGACATCAGAGCCTGGATGAGTGTACACTTTCTGCAACTGAATATGGTCAAGATGGAAGCCATACGCCTTGGCTCCCAAAAATGTCTTCACACCTGCGGATCTGAACTTCTCAACATCCCTGTCTTTCCTCCCCCACATCCGGTCCCTGATCAGGACCACCTTCTTCCACCTCCGTCATATTGCTGCCTCCGACCGTATCTTACCCCAAATGCAGCCGAAACCCTTGTGCATGTGTTTGTCACCTCTTACCTGGATTATTCAAATGCACTCCTCGCCGGTCTCCCCAACTCCACTATTCAAAAGATCCAGCTCATCCAGAACTCTGCCGCCCGCATACTGACCCTGACCAAACTCTGTACCCAGTTCTGACCAGGCTGCCACTGGCTCCCCATCACCGAATGGATCAACTTCAAGATCCTCACAGGTGTTCGAATCCCTACACTCTCTGGCACCTCCCTACCTCTCCGACCTCCTCTCCCCAATCCAACACCCAGCGACTCTGTTCGATTGGCACTGGCCTCCTGCATGTCCCTTCAACCCTCCTCCCCACCATCGGAGATCGCGCTTTCAGCCACTATGCCCCGAAACTCAGGAACGCTCTCCCTCAATCCCCCTCTCCCTTTTCCAAGTCCCATCTGAAAACCTTCCTCTTCAACTGTGCTTACGCCCCCCCCCCCATTTGGAGTATGGCTCCGCCACTGTGAAGCACTCTGAGACACTACCCTGCATGGGGTACAGAAGTGCAGGTTGTTGTTGTTGTATTGTACTTGAGGTGGTGACTTGTACGCTCAATATAGAATTGCCATAACATCAGAAGATAGATCCAAACTCTTGGTATTCAAAACATCTTCTGGACATATTGTCTGCAGAATGAAAAGTGATTAAGAATGTTTACTCTGTGAAGAGATGAGATGTTTTCAAGTGATGAACAAGAATTATTATTATAATACTGTAGTTACTCTCACAGTATGGCCAAGAACAGAATTCCTTCCCTTAAATTTCAAGTAAGGCTGCAAGAACAAACCTTATTTATCTTCTTGACTCACGCATTCAATGTAGTTTTCTTCCCAGGGGAAAATGTCATGAATATTCCATCACTTGAATGGGCCATCAAATACATTAATCCAGCCAGGACCTTAATGCTTCTGCTTAGGGACCATACAATTTAAATCCAGTGGAAGAACTTTTTTTTTCAAATGGCTATTTCTTTAGAAAGTATTGCTGTCAGTTCTTGGGAGGCTGTGGAGACATGTTCTGTTAGTCCAAGGTTTGTTTGCTATCCTTTAATAATAATAATAATAATAATAATCCTTGCATTTGATATAGCGCTTTTCACGTCGGGAGGACGTCCCAAAGCGCTTCACAGAACACACTGTAAAGTGAATTGACTGTATATTTGTGGGCGAACGCGGCAGCCAATTGCGCACAGCAATGTCCCACAAACAGTCGTAGATTGAAAATGACCAATTTATTATTGTTTTTGGTTTTGGAGGGATTATTATTAGACGTGTGGAGTAAGGAAACTTGCCCAAGGTTTCGCCTCTGCCTGGAATTGAACTCAGGTCTCTCACTTGCAAAGCGAGTGCTCTAACCACTGAGCTACAGGACTCCACACTTTAATTAACAAGTAGGGTAACACAATTTAAATAGCAAAATATTGTTTTGATGCTTTAAGAAAACAATTTTTGTTGGAAAATAAATTCTCTTAACACTTTTTCTCTAAAGACCACAATGTTTGTTCCATTTGGATAAGTGATTGCACTGAACGTGGCAATATGAGTTATTCAATCCTTGGATATTAGCATTATTTTGCTAACAGCTTCTAATAGACATAATATTTTTCCAACAACACTATCAGTAAATTTTCTTTGCTTCACTTCTAGATCACCTGTCCATTTGGAAGTCTGCCTTCCTTGTGGGCTGAATGTCTGCTTGTTCCAATCATCTTTCACCTTTTAAGGCCATCCATGGCCTTGTCCCCTCCTACCTCTGACCTGCTGACTCCCTACCAACCTGCCTACTCTCTCCGTTCAGCGGGCTCTGGCCTGCTCCATGTCTCCCGCCCGACCTGCCCCACCATCGGTGGCCGAGCTTTCAGCCTCTCTGCCCCCACACTCTGGAACTCCATTCCACGGTCCCTTCGCCTCACTTACTCCCTTGCCTCCTTCAAGACCCTTGTCTTCGACATTACCTTTGGTCTCCCTCCCACCTCTCTGCCTTCCCTCACCCCAACACCACCCCATGCTCGGGCCCTGACACCTGACTGTTCAGCGCTTTGGGACGTCCTCCCGACGTGAAAGTTGCTTTATAAATGTAATTTTGTTGTTGTTATCATCTGTCACTTACTGCACCAAATCAAGGCTAAGGATTTCAGTGAAGATTAATTTATATTTCTTTCACTTATTGAAAAAAATATTTGACCAAAAGTGCTTGTGTCAAAAAAACCTTTAAATTGGGTTAAACTCAAGTCTACCTTAAATAGATCATGGAAGAGAATTGCTAAAAAGTTTGTTTCAAGGACACTAGACAAACGTAGCTTTCAGTTTTCTCTTCCCACGTAGGCTGTTAAGAAAAACAAAAATACTGCATTTTCTTCTATGCAAGTAGCCACTTTGTTTTCTTCCCTTTAGTCTGCTGGTGTTTTTATAACCACGTTTATACTTACTTTTCCACAAATAGGACAGGTTATTCAGAATTCTGGCTTGTCGCTTACCCCCACCCCGCCCCCAAGAGATCATTTTAGAATCAAGGAATTTGAAATGCTCCCCACAAAGTACTATTTTACTGGAAAAACCTGACCAGAATGAAGTCAACAAAGAAATAAGAAAGCAACAAGTTATTTGATAGAAATAAATCCTGGAAAGGAGAGTAAGAAGGATCATCAGAAGATGGCCATTATGTCAAAATCTTTTAAAATAGATCTTTGGTTATTCACTTGTACTCCAAATTACTGAAGCATAAGCATTAGCTCTTGCAATTGCTCAAAGGGATTTATCTGCAACAATTTGCAATTAAAACTTCTTTCACATAAAAATAAATCACTTGGCACATTAAGGTATGAATACCAAGCAAGGACATTTAATGATATTGACCAAAGGCATGGTCAAAGAAACATATTTTAGGTTTTGATGGCAGGAGTTAAGTATCTAGACATAGTAGTTTGGGAAGAATGTCCCAGAGCATGGCTGCTGAAGGACTGGTTACAAATGGTGGGAGGGAATTTTGCAAAAAATAGAAGTTAGAGGAGTGAAGGGGATTGGATGCATTTTCTCCCTGTTGCCAAACAGTCACAGCTCACTGTTCAAACTTTTCACACAAATAGACACACTGCAAAACAACAATTTTACATAACAATGTAGTTTAGAAACATTAAATGCACAAAACTCACTCAAATTCACATTTATTGCTTTATTTTTTCCAGTTTGTCATCTATCATGGCTAAAACCCCATGAATAAGATGAAAAAATAATTTCTTTTAAAACACTATGACTTAGTGTTACATCGTTTGCCCCATCGAATTCATCTTTTATGCGGTAACACTCGAAACAAGTGCTTACATTTAGATTTGCCAAATGCTACACTTGAAAAACAGTCACATACTTGCCAGAAATCGAAGTCTGAAACCAGTTTGTCAAAAGTTACAGGCAAATCAATAAACTCATTCTCGGCTATGCAAATACTATACAAACATATGGACAAACAAATCGTGCAGCAGCACCACCTTCGCTACAGCCACAGCAAGGCCTTGCAAAACACAAATGTTTATTCTGTTTCAATCAACGGACATAATTGGGAAAACTAGACAACATATTATCTAACCCTAGTATACTTTTCTGATTTGTTACTAGCGAAGGCACTAGTAACTCTCAGTCTCAAATACACAAACCAGTGGTTGTGCCATTCTTTTCTTCACATATGTGATCTTTAAAAAATGACACAAGCCTAAAACATCAACTGCCCACTGCAGTCATTGCAAAACAACTCAAAAACTGCTCAAATTTGTTTCAATTCTACATACAGCATTATTTAGATCATTTTGTTGCTTGCTTATTAGAAATATATTATTTAATTTCTACTGAAGACATTCAATTAATCTCAACAAAACAATTACAAATCTCGATATGTTTTGTATCTTTGAGAGCAGTGGGAAGATCAACCACTGGTATTGGTTTAACTTTAGTTCAATTTTTGAAAAGTACTGATACAATCAATCAGTTTGGAGAGTCACTGTTACTTTGTGCTTCTGTATAATAAACTGCATTTTATTTTTCAAAAAAGTTATTTCAAAATTTATTGCTGCTTTCACTGAAGCTATTTTTTTCATTGGGTAAATCTTGCATCACAGCAAGTTTTTCCATAGGTGCAGGACATCCCCAAAATATATTGACCTAATTAATGCAGTGATCGTTTTTGAGGATATGAAATCTCTTCCATTTTCTCCTATCCCTTGGTCTCCTTCCACAATGCACTGGTTATGACTGAGATGGCAGGCAACCTACTCAAGTTTCCAAATAATGCTATTCTAGAGCCAGGTGGCAGGAGATACATAAAAGTAGTCTGGAAATGATTGGACTTCTAATCTTCCCTTTCCTGTGGTTAGGTACCTGGCCTCCACAGAATGCCTTTCCACAGCATGAGATCAGAAACCCAGTCCAGTGGGAATAAATCAGACCTCTGCATTGTTATTCGATTGCTTTAGGTTGTTGCACCTGTACTTTTTAATGAGAGATGGAATTAATAACAAAGACCAATAACAATAGGCTAGATATTCCTCTCAGCAATTAAACTTAATGGAGTGGTATCATAATAAATGATCATCTCAGCACCAAGCTTCTCCAATTAATTTGAAAAACAATCAGAGGTTCAGCAAACCCCAAAGCATTTAGAGACGATTTCCTTCACAATTCCAACCTCACAAGCAAATGCAGTTTTGTGACTAGAAATAAACTTCTGAAAGTAAATGTCATAAGAGCTTCAAATCAATGTGCATAGGGGAAAGGGAAGAGCGTACAATCTTATTAGGATTGAAAGGTGTTCAAATGGTGTAACTGCTGGGATAAAGCTCTTGCAATATAAACAGTTTTCTACAGTAAAATCTCTGTATGTGACACCAGCCCATGAGACTTTGCCTTGTCAGAGTCGGTTTCTGAGTGAGACTGATATTTCCCTGCAGAAAAGACAAGTTTACTTTGTTGGCTTTTTTTCCAGTGATTATGGCATTTAAAATACATTCCAATCCCATTATTAGATCAGTTTTACCAACTACAAACTGTAGTATTATACAATCAGAAGCACGCTTTTCCTTAGTAGAAAGGACAAGCTGAAGGACAAGCATATACTGCTGATTGTTAGAAAATGGAGCAAAGAACAGGTTCACTGATACTATACTGAAGCTATTTCATATTCGGGGCCAATTTCACTTGTCCCCAATATAAGAGTAAGCACTGATCAATCTAGTTTAATTTTTTGCTGCTATTAACTATATAAAATAGTGTTTACAATAATCGGTGTTTACTCCATACTGGGGTTGCTATGGGTCTTTGTGGTGCCCTGTCTATCACAATGAATTCCTCAGGGTTGTCAAAGGCTTGGTAGCGGATCAGTAGGTCTTGGATAGCATGTTCCTCAATCTGAAAAAGATAAAATCTTTCTGTTAATTTCCATTTTTGAAGGGAGCCCATGACATTGTGATTTTTGTTTTAAATGACTACTGAAGGAGGAAATAATTTTTCTGTAACCAGTTCCTCTCTGGAGGACATCCTATTGTCATGGCTTCTACAGTATTTATTAAATATCTTCTTTACACTGGTAATTAGACACCCATGTCTTCCAAGATCCAATTATCAACTGAATACTACATCATAAATTCACCTTATTTTTGCACCCTGATATTACATCATATGCTATTTGAAATAGACATTAAAGAGAGGTCCAGTCTTTGGTTCAGGTGGACGTTAAAGATTGTGGCACTATTCTAAAACAGAAAGAAATTTCCTCTCAGTATCCTGGCCAACAATTCCCCAGATAAGAAAATGTCATTCAGCTGTTTGTGGAACATTGCTGAGTGCAAATTGCTGATTGCTATTCTTGCCTATAAATGCACTGTAACTGCATTTTACAGTAAACTCCTGTGAAGTGCTTTGAGACATCCTCTCAACGCGAAAGGTGCTATATCAAATACAAGTAGTACTGCTGAAAATAGTGGAGGCAGCTGGCAGATCCACATTTTGTCTGCTGTTGACTGTATTTTGCCGCCACCACTATTTGTAGTGGAGCCTGAAGCTATGTAATGCTCATAGAAACGTTAAGCACAGAGGGAGGTCAGTCATCCCACCCCTTATGTCTGTGTGGTCATCCCCCATTGGAATGATCTGCCATAATTCCATTTGTAATTAAATTAGAATGAGTGAGGTTTATAAGCAATGAAACTGCATAAGCTAGTAAACAACATGTGGTTGCATACTAAATTAGGAGCAACGCCCTATAATTGTTTGTTCTAATTCCAAGTTTACCAGAAATTTCCTGTTAATGCACTTCATTTGTAGTCAATGTCGTTTGTAGTTACTGTAGTTTGCATCTTCACAGTGCTCCAAAATGCATATGTTGCAACAATGTTCACTGCTGTCACCTTGACTTAACTGGTAGCATTTCTGTGTCAGAAGTTGTGGATTCAAGACCGCGTGAGGACTTGAATTCACAGTCTAGGCTGACACTCCAGTGCAGTACTAGAGGAACACTTTTTTATTGGGGATGTGTCCTATGCCTGTTCTTTAGGTGGAAGTTAAGGATCTTATGACTGTTCAAAAAGAGGTTTGTCCAATGTTCTGGTCAACAATGCTCCAAATTAATTAGTGGTCCATTTGCATTTTTCTATATCATACGGTGCTGTAAAAATGCTGTTCCATTTCCAAATATGGGGCTGTTTTGAACGTACTCTTATGTTTGCTGAAAACTGAATTGAGTCTGGTACTTTTTTTTAAAAAAGTGAAAATGAAAAAGAATGTGAGAACAACAATGAGAAGCAATCCACCAGACAATGCACTGTTTTGCCCTGCCTGGAGAAAAATGTAATCGCACAAATCTGTTCCTTATGTAAAAATGTGGACAAACACTGTGTAGTAATGGAAAAAAACACTGTAGATGCTAATATATTTGCCAAGTTAAAATAGATCTGCATCTGTGAGAAGAGCATTTTTTCAACACTAATTTTAAAACGGCTTCATTCTTAATTTTTCATTGCTTTAATTTAGCATTAGGTCTGGTATTAGTTCCTAGTGTTGAGGACAGTTCATCTTTATTATTACAACAACTTGCATTTATTATACACACCATTCATGCAGAACAGAGTCTTGGTGTGCTTATAATTACCTGAATCAAAGCTAGTGGTTTGTCCTTACTCTTCAGAAGTGCAGCTTCTTGCTGCCGTTCTTCCTCCACAATAGCTGCAAAAGTGACTGGAGCTATCGCTGGTGGACTGTTGGCAACAGCATTTACCCAAGGACTGTTGACAGAAGTAAAAGCGATTTAAAATTCACCGCCTTTTAGAACCTGCAGTATCAACCTAACTGCTATCATGGTAGAACTGTTGCAGCATAAAGCAGATGCAGTGAGAAATGCATTTTGTAATGTTCTCAATTAAATTGACATGATTATCTGCAGGAATTAATATTTAACCTTTAAGACTGATGTTTCTAGGTTATGTACAAGAAAATACGTGGAAAGCAGAATTAACCGCACCAAATATTGAAGAGCATCATCCACACTACCCAGCTTTCATGGATCAAAATGTATAAAGTTGAATATTCACAATTATATAAGCATTGCATTCATAAACATAAGCCAGGGAACTTGGTTTCCCTTCTTCCTCCGATTTGGAGAAAAAACTAGCTTAAAAAAACCAAAAAACACAATGTCCTATAATGTGAACTGAGATATAATAATACTCCTTGTGTTTGATATAGGGCCTCATCATGTCTTTCATCACGTCTCGAAAGCGCTTCACAGAATATACCCTAAAGTGAATTGGCTGTATATTTTGTGGGCAAAACGATAATTAAATAATTAGCCTTGTAATATGCAATCGACCTCCTCACTCCCCAATCCACCACCCCGGCGCCTCCGCACGACTGGCACCAGCCTCCTGCTCGTGCCCTCAACTCCACCACTGGAGGTCTTGCATTCAGCCACTGTGCCCCGAAGCTCTGGAACACTCTCTGTCAATCCCTCCACCTTGCCCCCTCTCTCCCTTTTTTCAAGTCCCACCTGAAAACCTTTCTTTTTGATCGTGCTTACAGTCACTTCTCCCACTTCCGCTGGCTCCATGTCAGACTCCGTCATCGTTAAGCGCTCTGAAACGCTATCCTGCGTGAAGTGCAAGTTGTTGCTGTTATCGTCCCTTTATTTAGTCTCTGATATTGGTCAGGCTCGCAGAAAGAACGACAAATTAAATACACTAGAACCCTATTATAATGTGCTTTGCTATAATGCAGGTTTGTTCATAGCATCATTGAGGCATGGACCCAACATTTTAAACCCACCAAAATCCAAAGTGAGTGCAGTGGCTCTGTCAGCGATTCACAATGCTGTTGGATGCCAAAATGGCCGACTTCTAGGTCATCAGGTCATTGCGACATCACTTCCTGGATGTGTATGTATATATATATATATATATATATATATGAGAACATATGTATTCGCCCTCTCCCTTGCCTCCTTCAAGATCTGTCTCAAGACCCTCCTCTTCGACAGTGCCTTCAGTCACCCCCTACCCTCCCTGCCCTCCACCCCTCCTGATCCCAACCACCAGCTCGGGTACAAATCCCTGATTCTCCAGGGCCTTAGGTCATTCTCTTGACGTGAAAGGTGCTATACAAATATAATTTGTTGTTGTATGAATATGAATGCCAAAGTGTGATTGCCGATCTCATTGCATTAGAATGCCAGGAAGAATTTTATGGACCCAGCTATTACATTATAATGGGGCTCTACATATTCAAGCATTAACCCAACCGAGCAGAGAAAAAANTAGTGAGTTACATAGGTCACTCAATCTTTTTCCCAACAGTCAAAGATGGGGTGAAAAGTGTCAGAGTCAAAGTAAAGCTTGTAAATACAGTACTTACTTATGACTATCTGTTGGTGACAAATCAGTGGAATGGTTTCTAGCACTTTGTCCACCTTTGCAAGGCACGCTGTAATTAGACAAAAGGCAAAGTGTTTTATAAATACAGGTTCTCTGACAGGCTACTGCTGGACTAGACTAGCCGAATGGCCTGTTTCTGAGCTGTACTTTAATTAATCTGTGAAACCAGGTGGAGAGAAAATTCCATGAAGCACACTACTATATTATCTGAACCAAAACTAGTCCACTTGGAAAAAAAAACTTAGAATCAATACTGATATTGGATATCAAACTGGGAGCTACAACCACAAAAGAGCAATGGATCATATGATTCATCTGAGGTGGCACCTGGCTACCAAAAAACAATGTTGAGATTAAAATAGATTTCTAAGGAACCGGTTATCAGGAAACTGTAAAGAAAGTAAACTGGCAAATTTAGTTACTAAAGTATGCACATGTGCAGAAATATAATGGATATAGTTATTACATGGGCACAATTATGAATATTAATAATTAAAACAAGTTGATTTCAGAATGTTGAAGAGGAAGAACTACATAAATCTTGTAAACATCTTGATATGCATATGAAATTATTTATTGTGCCTCAATGAAAAGCAAAGTGAAGAGGAAGATACATCATCCTGGCTTCTCTCACACTTTAAATAGCCAGTGAATGCACTGCGTTACCAAAGGCTTGGGAGTTGGACCTCGTCCACTGTCTATATGGGAAGGCTACGTTTCAATGTGACCTAAAAGAGTGAAACATCTTCAGTGTATTAAGTGGGGAGGGAGGGAGATTTTTAAAACTCTATACAATCCCATAACTAGCAAAGAAAGCAGTAATATTCACAAAAGGATCATGGCTCCAACCAAAATAAACCCAACGTCTGAATATTAAAATGCAGATTGCAGTGCTCATGTTCCTCAGTAAACCGATGATTATTTTTATTTATTTTTTTTGGTGGGGGAGAAAGAGTGAGGGAGCCATAGTTAAAAATGTTTAGAAGCTGCAAAGCTATGGTACCGCCTTCACTGCATATTCTCCAACTAACAAGTAAAAAGAACACAAGTCTGGGATGAGAAAAGACCAGTCAGCCAACCACAACGTACCTTTCTTGTATATTGACTCTCCAATGATGGATAAATTGAAATCTGAATAACTCTTTGAGCTTGTCTTTTCTAACATTTTTGGGAGATTATTCCTAAGAATTTGAGGAAGGTCCCCCACTGATATCTGTTCCAAATGTATTTTTCATTGATTTGCATTGATGTCACTCAATTCCATTTTCTAATTTTACTTTAAAGTAATAAGTCTGGATTCGACTTCCCTATACCGTTAGTATTTGGGATATACTTTAATAAGGACATTCCTTACCAGACTGTACAACTTAAGTTCCTGTAGGACACTCAGATTTTGATATGTATGGTGCTTGCTATTTTACTGATTTAAAAGCAGCCAGTTCTTGTGACATTCTTTACCTGCTGGGCTGCTCCTGTGGATTGTTGGGTTGTTCTGGTTTGACACCATTTTTCAGGGAACTGGAAGCTAGCGAATTGCTTATCTTTACTGATGATGTTTCTTCCACCATCAAGTCACGGAATGATCTTGGGGATGGCAGACCATGGAATGGAGTCACCCTGAATGAAACAGTTATAAAGAGTTTGCTTAACCCAATCAACTCTAAACCTTGAAAATGAACCCTTAATGACTGAACATGCCAGATTCATTGCTCTTTTTTAGATCCCATAGGCCAGGGTGGTCCAAATGGTGGCCCATGGGCCGCAGCTGACCCATGGACCGATTTCATCCACCCCCACCCCGCCCCATATCTGGCCCACCTGCTCCCTCCACATAACCTGTAAATGTTATGTCTCTGAAAGGGAAGCACAAAAAGTTTTGCTTATGTGGCCCGCAGACATTTCTCAAATAGAGAATCTGGCCTGCGGCAGCCAAAACGTTGGACCTCCCCTGCCGTAAGCAATGCTCAAATAGGGAGTTAAGAGCGTTTACTGGCATCGCATTGAGTTGCGAGAAATGAAGTTCCTTTGTGCATGCGTTGATGGATCAAGGCTACGTTTCCGCGGGAGTAATGGAGGAAAGGCGAGCAGTCTTTTTTTTTAAATTTTTAAAAAATATTTATTTTTCGAGATTATTACGAATGGCGATTCACCAATCGACTAACAACTGGGTTCCTACTTATTGCTAGGTAAACAGGCGTATGGAGTAAGGAAACTTGCTTAACGTTTCACCCTGCCAGGAATCGAACCCAGGTCTCCTCGCTTGCGAGGCGAGCGCTCTAGCTACTAAGCTACAGAATATGGCACCTTACCACATCATCAAAATGTCTCAAAGTGCTTCACAAGATTTACTGTTAAAGTTTAGTGACTGTTTATTTAAACGCAAGTCACTTTATGCAAAACAAACAATCATGAACTGAGTGAATAATTTTATTTTCAAAGAATATCACTCATCAGCTAAGCAGACAGCACTTTGGAGGTGGGTTTGGAGGAGATGGTCATCATCAACACAATAATGGGATTGAAAAAGCACTTGAATAGCAAAACCTCTGGAAAAGCACTGCACGACGTAAACTCAGTTTTCTTCTGTATGTCACACTGACTCACAAGACCTCTGATCCGAAAGCACAAAAAGGTTTCAGAGCCGAGGTTTTCCAAGTTGGTGCGATAAAGGGAGAATTCTCAGTTAATGTCAGATACTCTTCCCAGTGGTTACAACATCCGAGTGCTTTTTCAAACTACTAATGTTTATCAGAATAGAATAAATACCTTAAATATGTCTAAAGAACCACCTAACAATTTACATAGGACACATTTCCAACTTGTACACACTAGTGATCCTACCAAGCATTTCCTGTCTTTGATGGTGTTAGTGGTGTCATAGTTGATTTCATTGGTGGGCTACTGCTTGTGCTTGGATCTTTAGCTGCCATGGCAATCATCTTCCTTTGTTTCTGAGAAAGCTTTCCTCCATAGAGTGCAGGCCTATTCCCACTGTGGAACACAATATTCAAAGTCAATTTGATAGGTATGTAGTTGCTTTGAGTGAAATTTTTGTTCAGAAACATAAAGGGTTTAACTTAAATAGAGTTGTACAAGATTCACATACTTTCTTGTGGGCTAATATAACACGACTGAAATGCTGCCTGCAGATTAGGACAGTGAAGATCTTGTATATTTTGAGACATATGATACTATTTTTTCCTGATAAGAGTGTGAAGGGCAAAGGTTTAGCCTGGTTGATCAGTATTATTTCCTATATTGTGTGACCCTTACAGGTATTCAACTGCTAGTGAGGGTTTATAATATTTCTGGCAGTGGTTTGTCTCAGGTCCTCTAGAGCTTTGTGTGGGGAGGGGGAAAGAGGGACGGCAACTGAGTCACCCACACCACCGAACATTTTGTCATCTCTAGATCCAATCCTCACATTACTCCATCAGATTGGAAAATATCCCAGAGGTAATGTATTCATGTTTCTTGTGGGGCAACTTTAGAAATGTATCCACCATAAATTCAAAGGTAACACTTAAGAATTAACGGTTAATAATGATGATAAATTCACTTTTAAAATGATTTGAAATGCAAAGTTATGTTTAAAATATAAATAATAATAAGTATTATTATTAAAATATAAAATGAAACATACGCTTTTTGGTGTAACCCATTACCTAAGTTTGACAGAAGTATAATGCAGCTTTACACACACCTTGAATTAGTCTTTGGTAGAATTGAGCGTTTTTGTACATTCTCTTCCATTTCCATTATTGCTCGTAGGTCCACTGTGGAAGGGCTTGTAGGGCTAAATAAAGATTTTTAAAAAAAGTTTGTGAACATTTCAAGATGATATTTTACAACAACAATATTTACATGCATTTATATAGTGCACTTCAAGCAGGGTAGATTCTGAGCACTTAACAGTGGCGAAGCTTGACGCCGAGCTGGGGAGAGGGGATAGTGACCTTAGGCGAGGTCAAAGAGGAAAATCTTCAGGAGTGACCTGAAGATGGGGAAGAAGCAAGCAAGGTGGAGGGATTGAGGAACAGTGGCTGAAGGCACAGCCGCTGATTTCGAGCAGATGGAACAAGGGATATGCAGGAGGCTAGAGGTAGCTGAGCAGAGATGGCGGGTAGTGGAGTGAAGTGTAAGCATGTTGGAGAGGTTGGGAGGTGCCAGGGCATGAAATGATTTGTAACACAACTCGAAGATCTTGAAAATCGATCCGTTCTGTGATAGGGAGCCTGTGCAACCTGGCAAAGAGGTGATGGGGTTACAGAGATTAGTGCAGGTGAGGATATGGGTGGCTGAATTTTGAATTACTTGGATTTTACATGTTTGTGTCATGTGTTTTATGTCTTAGGTCCTTGAAAGAGTTGTCGCCTCCCAGCTGCGCTCTTTCCTCTCCACCCATGCATTATTCGAACCCCTTCAGTTGGGTTTCCGTGCTGCCCATAGCACAGAAACCGCCCTGGTCAAGGTCACTAATGACATCTTGACCATCTGCGACCAGGGCTCCCTCTGCCTCCTCGTCCTCCTCGACCTATCGGCCGCATTCGACCCGGTCGACCACGCTATCCTCCTCCACCGCTTGTCCTCCCACCTCAACCTTCAAGGCCCTGTCCTTGAGTGGTTTAGGTCGTACCTCTCCCATCGTCTTCATTTTGTTTCCACAAACGGCTTTTCCTCCAGCCCCCGCACTATCTCGTGTGGTGTCCCTCAGGGCTCTGTCCTCGGTCCCTTCCTCTTCACCCTCTATATGCTCCCCCAGTGACATCATCCGCAGACATGAGGTTAACTTCCACATGTATGCGGACGACACCCAACTCTACCTTTCCTCCTCTACCCTCAACTCCACGACCACCGATGTCCTGTTCGACAACGAGTCCTGGACGAGAGACAACTTTCTTCAGCTCAACTTGCGCAAAACTGAGGTTCTCCTGATTGGCTCGCGTCAGCGTCTCCGCACCTCAGGCGCTGACAGCATCAGCATCCAAGGCTGCACTCTCCACCTCTCAAAGCCAGTCAGGAACCTTGGCGTTCTGTTCGACCCTGAGCTGTCCTTTCTTCCTCATATCTGAGCCACAACTGGCACCGCCTTCCATCACCTCCAAAACATCGCCAGACTACGGCACTACATCACCCCTCACGCTGCTGAAACTCTGGTCCACGCCTTTATCACCTCAAGGCTGGACTATGGGAACTCTCTCCTCGCCGGCCTTCCCGCCACCTCCCTCCACAAGCTGCAGGTCATTCAGAACTCTGCAGCTCGTGTACTGTCCCGCACCAGGCTTTGGGACCACATCACTCCCACCCTCGCTCGCCTCCACTGGCTTCCCATCCCCCAGAGGATCGAATTCAAGATCCTCATCCTCACCTACAAGGCCATTCACGGCCTTGCTCCCTCCTACCTCTCCAACCTACTATCCCCCTACTTATCTGCCCGTACCCCCCGTTCCTCAGGCTCCGGTCTGCTCCACATCCCCCGCCCTAACCGCCCTACTATTGGTGGCCGGGCCTTCAGCCTCTCAGCCCCATGGCTCTGGAACTCCATCCCCCAGTGCCTTCGCCGCCTCGTCCCTTTCCTCCTTCAAGGCTGGTCTCAAGACCTTTGACCGTGCCTTCAGCTCCCCTCTCGACTCTCTTCTCCCTCCTCGCTCCCTCCCTTCCCTCCCCTCACCCTGACCATTTCCCCCCTCCTTGCTCCCTTCCCTCCCCTCACCCTGACCATTTCCCCCCCGCTCGGGTCCTGACCCAACTGTCCAGCACCTTGGGACGTCCTCCTGACGTGAAAGGTGCTCTATAAATGAAATCTTGTTGCTGTTGTTAAAGGAACTTATAGAATTGAGAGTTCAAATTTTAAAAGTGATGCAAATTTTAAAGCAGTCTAAGGAAACACTGTCGCTAAGAATCCTTTAAAGGAAATCAAAACATCATTGTAGAAGGTTGTGCCAAATGTAGTGGAACCACACATTGTATAACGCACCAACACATAGATGAAGCCTTTGAAAAAGAGGACTGGGAAAAATCCAAGTGTCAATCAAAAGTGAGTTTCTTTACAGCTTTGAAAATTAAAACAATCTCTCAGCTCAAACAAAGTAGCTGCTCTCTGTGTAACCTAGCATTTCTGAACTACAATTTATTTCTCAGATTTAATTTTAATTTTATGTAGCCTGCAGTATCTAACTAGTTAGCCTAAATAATTTTCTCAGCATCAATTTTCAGGTTAAAATTCCAATAACAGTTTTGGCAAGTCAAAAGCGGAAACGTTTGCATAGATCACGGATTGATTAAGTGTTTGTTGAAAAAATGGCAATATGATGAAGCCTCACCCCTGGTATTATTATTTTTAAAGTTTTTTTGATTTATACCTGAGAGAACAAGCCACCCAGCCAACAGCACTTCCAGAGCTGGATCTAGGAATGGACCGAGGGTTTGACTCTTTCTTAGGGGTCCAGGTCTTCTCGTTCATTTTCATCTCTTCATTTGGGCTCATCACCTCAGAAATATGACCTCTTTCATCAACCTAAAACACAAATACTAAACCATCAGCTGTAGGGAACATATGTTAAACCAATGCACATTTGAAATTACTGATTCAGCCAATCACTAACTGCAGGTTATAGTTGGCCATAGGCAATTATATGGAGGATAATGAGTACCTTTTTCTAAATTACAAGGCAATAAATCCAATTGATGGGTTCAGATGATGTCAAACTGAGAGATTCCGTCATCCAAACCAATTGATCTATTGCCTTAAATTCATAGAAATGTTAGTAATTTTCCATCGTCTTTCTTTACTTTTTTCTCTCTTAACTGTGGTCCACGTTTCCAATACATTGCATACGTGGGACTTGTCCTGAAGAAAAGTTGGATTTACAACGCATAAAAATGCAGAATTCAGATACTTCAGCAATAATTATAGAAAATCCCTATATTGTAGATATTTTTAAATCAATCAACCAAAGTGTCTCCTTGAATCTGCTTGAAAACTGGAGAAACTAAACATACAAAGAGAGCAAGTCGCCAGGGAACTGAAAGCTGCCATAAGCTATGAAAGGCCAGGTGCAGCAGGAAATAGAGAACCATTGAGGATTGAAAAAAGCCTCACAAAGTTGGAAGGCAACTAGCCCCTGGCTAGCTCGTAGCTGGAATTTTTACTTCAGCTTCATATTGCACAGCAAATAACACAATCCTCCATTGTATTTAGTATACAGTCTCAAACCTCAGATATATCATGGCAGAACCCAGCTGCAAAGTCAGGCGAAGCTAATTCTCTGGGGCTGGCTGCTCCACCAGCATAACTGCCTTCTGAATCAGACAACATCAGCTCCTGCAGCGATTCCACTGAATTAGTCTTAACAGGCCTTAGTGAATCTGCAGGAGTAAAGAATATTGGGTTTTCATAACATGCTCTAAAAATAAAGTCTGAAACTAAACTTGAATATACACAAAATTACGTGAATTCACAGGAGTTTACTGGATCACATTGATTGAATGTGCCAGAGCAACAGATTTAATAAAACCTCATAAACAAAAATATTCTCACATAAATCAAAACAGCGGCCGACTAAATTTATATTGTTGATTAATCTCGAGAATTTTGTATAAATGAAAAACATGCAAGTTGGTCCCATGGCACTAGACAAACTCAAAAGTACGTGAGGGCATGTTTTTATTGGGGGGAGGGGTTGTAGAAGAACCTTGAGGTATGTGTAGTTTTTCTATTGAGGACATTTGCACACTGAAGATTACATCCATTTATATAAATTCCCATAAAGCTAAAACATCATTAATGCCTCTTAACAAGGACATTGTTTTTAAATAAACATTACTAAATCCAGTATTTAAATCTCCCTATGAAAACATTTCAGAAAGTTTAATTTCACAATGAACCCCCTTCAATTTCCACCCTCAGCACCAATACCCAGCTAGAATTATCAAGCACTTTGTTATGTTCTTCCCGACATGAAAGGCACAACACTAATTGTATTGTAGTGACATAGCTGCTCCGTATGGCATAATCAGAGGTTTTTCTTCAAGTGAACAAGAAATGCTGCTCCAATTCAGGAGGAGCATAAAACTCAAATATCACAGCTAGAGCGCACTTTACCAGGAGAGTTTCTGCTGTGATTCGTGTGATCCATCAATATTTCCATTTCTCATATCTACTGTTAACATAGGACATTTCCGGGGATCAGGTGTATCAAAATAATGCTACTTTTATGGGTACCTCAATCTAAAAAAAACACAATTACCACTTCCCATCTACCTGTACTCGTGAGAATGTTTCCATTTTCCATAACAGATGCTCTTACTGACCTCAGAGTGTGATTGTTAATATAGTGCCAATTTGTGCCAAAATAGGGGCAGCTTTATACTCTAAGCCATTGCCTATTAGGGAGAACACATGCTGGACTACTACAGTAAATTGAGAGAATTCTTTGATCAAATCAGTTTAGGCTAGATTTTCCTAAAGTGAGAGTTTAGTGTTAAACCCACTACCTCACCCAAATTAACATTCCCAATGCCCATTTTTTCTATCAAAAGCTTCACCGACAATATACAACACTATTATCACAACTCCATGGCACAGAACCATAATCAAAACACAATTCTAATTCTCTTAATCTAGCTATGAAATATTTATTGAAAATTCCTCGGCAATCAAATCCCAGGCACTGCCCACCCCACCCCCTCCCTCCCTCCGTGTCCCATCTCATAACAAACTGCTGACCTGTTGAGGTTGGACTCTGAATGAGATCAGATAGATGGTAACCTCCTGAGCTGTCCGATCGTCGTCTTAGCTTCTTTTTTGCCTTTGCTTTTGCCTTTTTTAGGAGAGAATCTCTGAAACAAATAATACCAGATATATAAAACATTGGACAAAATGGTTTACTTCATGATTATCCACTTAAATCAATTAAACTGGAAGAACATGAACAATTTTCCAATTACAGTCTCTAGAACGACCAAAATCACAAGTCATTTATCAATTTATGTTTCTAGTTCAAAAATTCAATCCAATTGATTTGTTTCAAAAAACATTTTTTAAATTTTAATAAATTATTGGCTTTCTGTAGCTATTGCAACATAGCCTCACTACAGCACTCGCTTCGCAAGCGAAAGACCTGGGTTCGATTCCCAGCAGGGCAAAATGTTGGGCAAGTTTCCTTACTCCACACTCCTCTGTTTACGTAGCAGTAATTTGGAACCCAGTTGTTAGTCGATAGGCAGATCTCTTTTCCGAGGGTAATAATTCCTTCCCCAAAAAATCATAGTAAATCCACGACTGTTTGTAGGACATTGCTGTGCGCAATTGGCTGCCGCGTTTCACCCACAAAATATACAGTCAATTCACTTGACAGTATATTCTGTGAAACGCTTTGAGACGTCTCGAAGACATGATAAGGCGCTATATCAAATGCAAGTATGGTTATTATTATTATTGTTGTCAGACTCCACCACTGTGATGTACTCCGGGACGCTCCACCGCGGGAAGGTTGCTATATAAATACAAGTTGTTGTTGTTATTATAACACTATTGTTGGGATCCATAAAATCCAAAGCAGTGAGGTGTGATAGTTGCTTTCACTAAGCATCCATGTAGAAAGCTGGCTCGTTCCCTTCGCTAGAAGAAATATCTGACCCATCATGCCCGATTCCTATTTGCTGCACGTGAGCAAGGCGGGAAGCAGTGTCAGTGGTGACTTGATGACCAGGATTTTGGTCATTCCTGCACTGGGACTGTGGTCTACACTGCAGCCACATTATAACCAACATTAGCACTATAACGCAAGTTTAATGGGCCCAAAATGTGTGAAAGGTTGACAAATGTAAAATGAAACAATTTTATTAAGTCAAAAGTGCTTAGCAATAAAAGGATTACGGAATATTTATTGTACTGAAGCATGAAGCTAGAAATGAATGCATGTTTCCCTGTAACCCAAGTCTTCACAAAAATGATTTTCAAGATGGAAATTAAAGTTTGCTTGAGAGATCATAATATCTAGAAAAATAGGATTTTCTTCTAATCAGTTTAAAAATATATATTTTCAATATTACCCATGTGCTCCAATCAAAAAGCACCACTAAGTGTTTAACAGTAACATAGTATCTATCTTTCATTGACTACTCCATCACATGGAGATCTTCTGGGCTGGCGGGGGTGTGGGGGAAGGGAAGGGAAAAGTGGGGTCTCCTTGGAGCTGACTGGCTCCAAGGTGACATGTTGGGCAGTCGGTTCCTGAGCCAGGTGGGTTTACAGTAACCCTGGGCACCTCTGATAATAATAATAATCCTTGCATTTGATATAGCGCTTTTCACGTCGGGAGGACATCCCAAAGCGCTTCACAGAACACACTGTAAAGTGAATTGACTGTATATTTGTGGGCGAACGCGGCAGCCAATTGCGCACAGCAATGTCCCACAAACAGTTGTAGATTGAAAATGACCAATTTATTATTGTTTTGGGTTTTTGGAGAGATTATTATTAGGCTCTTTGAGGAGTAAGGAAACTTGCTCAAGGTTTCGCCCTCTGCCTGGAATTGAACTCTCTCCCACCCCTGAAGCCTTAGAACTCTCTCCCCCAATCCTTCTGCCTTGCCCCTTCCTTCGCCTTTTTTAGATCACGACTGAAGACCTTCCGCTTCGACTGCACTTACAGTCACCTTCTACTTCCCCCCGGCTCAGCATCAGGCTTCATGTCACTGCCCCGCATGAAGGGAGCTATATAAATGCAAATTGTTGTTGTCATGTACAGTAAAAGAAAACCTGCATAATTAGATTTGCAAAGATTTTCTAACCCCACATTGCTCAGGATAAAATAATATATATTTCACAGCAGGAAGCCTGAAGTGTGTGTGTGCGTGTGGCCGGGGGGGAGAAGAAGATTGTAGGCACAGTAAAAAAAGGTTTGAAGGCAATCTTTGAAGGTGGAGGGGTAGGAAGCAAGGTGGAGAGACTCTGGGATAGAGTTCCAGAGAGTGTGGGCAGAATGGCTGAAATATTGAGCTATCGATGGTAAGACTGGTGAGCAGGGGACATGAAGCAGGGCAGTGCTTGCGTTTGCTAAGCAGAGGGAGGGGCCAGGGCAGCAGGTCTCAGAGGTAGGGTGAGGTGAGGCCAGGGAGGAATTTAAAGTGAGGACAAGAATCTTGAATTCAATCCCCTGGGGGATGGATAGCCAAAGGAGCCAATACCAAACCCACAGGTATTCTCAATGAGAGCTTTTCATCTTCATTATAATTCCTAAATGCATCTTATGATGTGAAAGACTCCATCCCAAATATAGTAATTATTATTAGTAGTAACTATAACTCATCAAAGTGAATCTCTATTGTACCCTACGTGTGACTGTAATATGCATTTTATTATAGAAATGCTCCAAACTGGATGCAATACTTTAACTGCTGCTACATAAAAAAATTGGCATTTTAGATTTTATAAGTTTTGTTTACTTGTATTCACTCATACCTTTAAAGTTGTATGCATCTCATAACATAATAATAATCCTTGTAGTCAGTATAGAGGACATCCCAAAGCACTTCACAGGATTAACTGTGGAGTGACTGTATCTGTGGGCATCTGTATCCTGAGAGCTCTTTGCTCCTAAATTGTCTTTACAATTATGTTTGGTTGTTTTACACACCCTGAAGAACACACTTCTCCCTTAAATATTCAGCACCAGCTGTGATTCATGGGTTTATAGTACCACTGTCTCAAGCATAACACACAAGCTGATTGATAAAAGGCAAAAAGAATCTCAAGGAATGAGGCAGGTAGGCCTCAAATATTTATCATCTGTGTTTGAATCCAGAACCAGAGCCACTCTTCATTTGTTAACATTTATACCTTTTCACAATATTCCAATTTAAGGGAAAAATGTATAAAGGTGTGAAGAAATTAAAGCTAATCCATTTATTAATTCACACAATTCCAGTTGCAAGAGTTTTCATTGAGCTCAGGATGTCAGGGCAAAACAAACAGCTGATCCAAGTTAAACAATAGAATAGACTGTCAGGAGTAAAGTCACTGCTCCCTCAGCTGGCCTGACGCAGAACTGGATGTAACGCCATCTGCACTCTCAGTTCTCCACAGTGTGTACCTGAACACGTTTGCATATGGAACAGATTCCACTCCACCCTTGTATCATTGAATCATTTCAATTCCATTTGTGTCTAAACAAATGTATTCATGAAGACTTTGCAATAAGTCCTAAGTATCCACTTCACACATCATCAGTAAATCATATGCTATTTAGTTAAAACAACTTTCCTTTAATAATTGTTTGCAGTTGTCGAAGACAAAATATTAATCAGAAGTCACACAATTACTAACACTACCAACGTCTGATGAATATAATTTTTTCCAGATTTGCAATATTGTTTTCATTAATAAAATTAATTTCCAATAGACAATTTAATAGTGTAAATTTGCTGTTCCTTCCCCACTCCCCAAAGTTTGATCCAAGCAAGTAGTGAAGGAATTTTAAGCATGGTGCAAATTATTTTACTTAATTAAATGCTCAAGATTTTGTTTAGTCAGTCAGCCTGGGTGCTGACACGTGCAGAAACCCGTCTTCATGTTTAAGAGTATCCAAACCAGACAGACTTCCACAACATGAGAAAATTCCGTATGTCTGGAATATAATGTGCAATCTCTCACTAGAGGGGGGCATGCAGTTTACCTAATTCTGGAAAGCATTAGGCATTAGAGAGCAAAGGCTTGGAGTTCCCAGAGTGTGTGTTGGAGTATTGTTGGTGTTCAACCAGTTTAAAACATATAGCTTGCTATTGAGAGCAAGCAATGTCCGGCAAGTTTCTTATTGTTTGTCCAAATCCTTACCTACTAGAGCTTTGACTTACAGGGTTAACAGACGCAGATTGGGAAGTAACCCTATCCTCAAGTGACTGGTTCTCCAAATCCTGCTGACAAGTCAAACCAGGAGTTCTGTCATCATCAATGCCATGAAGTACTGTGAACTCACATGACTCAGACCCTGCTAATCTCTTCCTCATTCTCCCCAGGAGAAAACCAAAATGGATAGGAATACAGTAGCATTATCCCTTTTCACCTTATACCTTCCCAACATGGAAAAAAAACAGTAATGTACTCACAGCCTAGAAGCATCACTTACTTAGAGGGCTGTTCAAGTTCTAGTTCAACCCAGCTAGCCACAACATCACCATCAACTTCATCTTCTAGAAAGCTCATGTTAGGACCGCCAGGATAAGGAGTGATAATTCGCTTTTGCATGGCTGGAATCTGCAGATCAAAAAACATATAGCTGATGTCTGATAATCCTAATACTCAAAAAATTAAATCCTGTAGCTCAGTGGTTAAAGCACTCGCCTTGCAAGTGAGAGTCCTGGGTTTGATTCCAGGCAGGGCGAAACTTTGGGCAAGTTTGCTTACTCCACACGCCTAATAATAATCCCTCAAGAAAAAAAAAAATAAAAATTTGGTCACTTCAATCCACGACTGTTTGTGGGACACTGCTGTGCGCAATTGACTGCCGCGTTTCACTTTACAGTATATTCTGTGAAGCGTTTTGAGACATCTAGAAGACGTGAAAAGCGCTATATCAAATACAAGGATTAGTATTATTATTAAATATAAGAACCATTTGTATAAAAAACAAAAAAAATCTACAGAATTTATCCAATATACCAAACCAGAAAAAAAAATGGAGGGTTACACTGTGTAGCCAAGAGACAAAAGATCACCCAAAAGAATTGCCGTCTTGGATTTATAAGTCATGGATTTGGTATCAAGGTGTAACCCATATAATAGATATGAAACTTTTAAATAAACAAAAAATATTGTGTCCATTTTATGAACAGAAAAGAATATAGCAATTGAGTTAGAATAATGCAGTTCCTCAGCCAAAGTATAAATATGCATATCATTATCTCCAGTTAACGCAGATATCAGAGATGGGAGTGGAACTTTATGAGGAACATGAATTATAAGTTTATCTTTTTTAAATGCTTGAGTTAAAAATAAACAAATCTCTCAATGATCTCATTGGTAAAGACACTGAGACATACAAACCTGGAAGGTCCCAATTCAATCTCTGTCTCTCTTAAGTGGTATCAGGTGGGCAGTAGTAGGGGTGCTAACATTGTCCTAAGTAACTTGGGCTAGAGAGGGAAGAAGATCAGTCAGTGCTCCCTCTCTATCACTATTCATTGACTCCTGCTGTCTATGTCAGATGAGGACAGGATTGGGTTTGGTTGTAATGCCCCCATGGTTGAACAATTTGTCAACACTCACTGTCTTGGCTGACGTACGAATGGTCATTTGGATAAGGAACAGGAGAGAATGTACCCCAACATGAGTCAGTGTCAGAGGGGAGAAAATTAAAGTAATAAAAAAAAGTTTGCAAAAGGATATTACAGATTTATTTCAAAAAATTGTTGGATGCCTGCATTTAAAAAAAAACTCATAAAAGACAAAATGTAGAAAGCAAACATATGATTAATATCTTTTTTAAAAACTACAAAATACAACCAACGTTGGTGCAGTGCACACCAGTAAAAGCTAGTGATTCACTCAATGTTCTACATCCCATTACTTGTATGTTGTAGAGACAGACACTGATGCTGGAAACTGGATACAACCTGTGCTCATGTTCGCCAGGGTAGAAAAACAACACCTGAAACCAGGATGAGTTGGGCAAATGGTGGAGAGCAATGCATTAATTTGTCTAGTGTTTCAAATAAGTAATGCAGTTATATAACAGCAAACGTCTCCTGCACAGGCAAAGTCCTTTTGTAGAAATACAAAACAGAACAGCTTTTACAAGATGTGTCTCCCCTTATATGGTTTACACTCCAGGGATCAATTCAGCATTTCTAATGAAACAAGAATACATATCATAGTAATCCAGTAATGGTGTTTTTTTTTCTGTGGTAATCAAATACAATTAAGCAGATTTACCATCTTTCTATAAGCAGCTGACAGCTCCTTCATCACGTCATCACTGAGAATGTCCAGAGATCTGAAAGAAAAAAAAATCAGTTGTAGCATTCAATGGATAATCACCTTCCTTGTAGCTCTTTCTTTACCTGCAACATGCAATCACTACACTTTATAGTAAAATCCTGCAAAGCCCTTTGATACGTCCTCCCAATGTGAAAGGCATTATATGAAATGTAACGAGTTATTATTAGTATTTACAGAGCAATTCAATTTTAAGACGGTCCTTTAAAAAGCAATTACGCTGTGGATTCACTATTTGCTTCAGCACACAAACTGATCAACAACAACAAATTGCATTTATATAGCACCTATGTCAACTATACAATAAAAAAAAGGCTGGTTTCCAGGACATCAAGTGACTATGAAGTGTGTGTGTGTGTGGGGGGGGGGGGGGGGGGGGGTGGCAAGGGAGAAAGGAAGAAAGGAAGAAACTGCATTATTTTTCAAATGAGATTAAACAAAACTCCCATCTTGCAGGTTGACATTAAAAATCCCATGAAACTATTCAAAAAGAGAAGTGTTTTCCCTGGTCCTGGCCAACAATTCCTCAGATGAATTGGCTCTTCACCTCATGGTGGTTTGCAGGAACCTTTTGACTCTACAAGTTACAATACACTGACAGAAATTACCATAAAGTGCTTTGACACAGTTTATAATAACATGTTTGATATAGCACTTTTCACATCAGGATGTTGTCTCAAGTTGCTTCACAGGATTTACTGTAAACTTTATTTTGTAGCGAACATGGCAGCCGATTTGTAGCCAATATGTGCACAGCAAAGTCCCTTAAACAATGATGAAGTAAATTTGATTGTTGACCAGGACACCAGGAGAAACTCCTTCCTCTTATCTAATAGGGGCTATGGGATCTTTAACATCCACCTGAATGGGAAGACTGGATCTCACTTTAATGTCTCATCTGAAGGACAGTACCACCAACATTGCAGTACACCTCAGAAATGCACTGGAAAGTTAGCCTGCGTTATGTGAATTGAAAGTCCTGACGTGGGGTTTAAGCCCACAACCTACTGACTCAGTAGAGTGCTACCAAATAACATCCCTTTTACACTTTGGCCCATCACCTCCATTGGCTCCCTATCCCACAATAGATCAACTTTAAAAACCTTGTTTTCACCTTCAAAGGCATCGCCTCACCAAACATCTGCAATCTCCTGTAACACTACTCCCCTTGTACCTTCCATTACAGCAACTCTGGTCTGCTTCATGGTCCCCACCCTTTCTACCCCAACATTGGCAGGCATGCTTTCAACCACTTTACTCCCAACCTACGGAAATCTCTTCCAACATCCAGGTTAAAGGTTTCAAAATCTGTCTAAAGATCTATCAGTTTTACTGCACCTCCCACCTACCTCAAAATCATATTCCTTTTTTTTAAAAAAAGCACTTTTGAGACATTCTCATTCTCACCTTTATATCCATCCAGAATCCTTCCGACACGCCCTCTCCCTCTCCACATTCAAAGCCTACCTCAAAACTTATCATTTTTGGTCATCTTCCCCCTGTCCAACCTCTTCACTTCCCAGCCCGTGGCTCAGGTGCCTAGCAAGCACTGAGAACTTTAAGATGTCTTCCTGACGTGAAAGACACTATATAAACGCAAACTATTCTTCCGACAAGAGAGGTGTTATACAAGTCAAAATTGCTGTAGTAGAGGAATGTTGAATTCTTACAGTATTTCAATCAAGGAGGACATTTACTGCCATTATTTAATCTAATTAAGTATCTTCAGTGACTTTTACCTTGCTTCAAGTAGAGCTGCCACATTTAGCCCTATAAACTGTAGGCAGGACAGTTTTAACTGCTCAGCATTGTACGTTGCAGCAAACTCCAAAAGTTCTGCAGCATTTTTCAAAGTTACTGCAAAAAGAAGAAGGGTTAAGTCTGGGAACATTAAAGAGATGCAGTATCCCAATTAGTCTGATTTAATTTGTAATCTATACACATAAAGGGTACATAAAAAAATCTATTCCACTAAATAATATAATAATCCTTGCATTTGATATAGCGCTTTTCACGTCTTCTCGACGTCTCAAAGTGCTTAGTAAGTACACTAATTTACCAAAAAGAGCTGGATATAATTACTAGTGATTGGAAAACATGAACATAATCAATCAGCAAACCTTTGTATTACACCAACCATGTTGCAAATCAGCCTTGACAAATTACATTTATGAGATTTTCAATAATAATTCACATTGCCACACCTCAACATAGTTCCTGAAGTATTCAACCATTTGCCTGACAGCAGTACTATTAATATTAATCTCCTGTACATGCAATCTTTGCTACAGTTTCTGTAGGTATTCTAGATAATGATTCTAGTCTTTATTCTCAGTCAGTTCTGCATCTCCTATAATGCTTATTAAATAAAGATCCTCACTTTTCTCTGTAATGGCCACTTCACACATTTCCTTGAGTCGAGTGATGAGAAGCTGATCAGCCACTACAAGAACATTACAAATAAACTCCACATTCTGACACTCTAGGAAGAAAAATAAAACAGAGAATAGAAGTTTATAACTATTGCAAATTAAAAGTCAGCAAACTACAACATAAATGTAAACTAAAACAAATTGAGAATGTAAAATGAAATGGGTGGTATAGTGTGTTGGTATAATGCCCTTTCACCCTTGGAGCTAGTGTTTCAATCAGTCCAGACTGACGTGACTGAAATCTGCTCACTCTAAAGATCATAAATGAAATGCGTTAAAATGAAACTACAGAACATTAGATGAACAGTTCTGACCTTTAACAGTTGGAGCTTCGTCCGTGTATATGTAATCCAAAATAACCTCCAAAATATCAGAATGAATGGGCATTTCCAAAGATGTGCAACAAGAAGCCTAAATATAAATAATACAGGGGTGAAAGTGTTAGAGAAGAAAAAAACAAAGTTAATTAAAAACATTTAATTATGATTCAATATTTTCATTTTTCTCCCCTGGGGAGCAGATCACACCCATTTATTTATACATGCAGAAATAAGTAATCAAAATAGTCAAAGATTCCTCTTCCTCATGAAATCCACCAGATCAGAATATGGCAGTAAAACTCTGCCCTAATTTGGCTTTTAGTAATAAACTGCTTTACATCTTATTCTATGATGTATCTCTGCATCTGTTTTATTTGTCTAAATATCACAGCACTTCTCCGTGCATCACAAGCACTGTACTACTAAGAACAAATACATTGTGAAAGTTTTCCTGAAAGCACAATGAATCTGTGCTGTTCCTTTAACCATTATCTATAGAATATCTTTGAACATTTACAGGTCAGCAAAAGTATAGCATTCCTAAATGAAATACAATATGTTAAATAAGGACACGGGACAAAACAAAGATGGGATTGTAAGGCGAGCAGGGAAGAGTTGGCGGGGGAGGGAAACAGATTTCTTGTTACATTACTATTGGAATATTAGTATTTTCAGTTTCCCATTAATCAAATGGATAAAGGAGGACAATGACCTGTAAATATACTCCCTTTGCTTTTATAGAGTAATCATTTAACCAATTCATAATATAGAAAATAACTAAAGTTATGGTATTAATATATCATTTTTTTAATAGATGATGTACTTGCCCATCAGAAAATTATTTTGATTTGAAAATTTCAATAATGTGCAAGGTCTACTTAAAAAAAAACAAGCATATTTACAGTAAAGTAAGATTACAAATACCTCAATCCAGGTGCTGCTCAGCATGCTGTGAAAGTATTCTGAAACAATAAAAGAATGCGTTTAGTAAATAATTTGACCATAACTGTACAATACAAACATCAGCATGCGCATGAGGGAAAAATAACCATTAGGGTCAGTCTTTCCCATCCCTAAATTAAACTCATCCAACTCTCTTCACTCACTCTCAAAATCCTGAATTGAAATCTTGCCAAGTAGCTACTTAATTCAAATCTGAATTTGCTAACACAATGTACCTTTCGTAACCTTATCTTAATCTGTAAATGTTATGTCTACTTCGGTACCGCTGGGCTCCTAGCTACACCACCCATTGGCTACAATTTATTTAAAACACCATCGCACCTAACCTCACCCACAAAAATGCCAAACGCCCATTACCCCAGCCTCACCAGGTTCCAATGGTTCCCTCTCCCAGCAGATCAATTTCAATGTACTCATCAACTATAAATCCCTTCATACCCAAACATTTCCCCATCTCTCTGACCTTCACCGACCTCAATCACCCACTCGACTTGGATAACGCCGGCTTGCTGCGCGCGCCGGCTTTCTCTGCGTCAGTGGCTGAGCCTTCAGATCTATCTTCCTTAACCTCTAGAACTCAATCCCTCTACAGTCTGGCTTGCCTCCGCTCGGTATGTGTCATGCCTTGAAACCTACCACTTTGATCCATGACCATGGTCATCTCCCCCCCACCCCCCTACCACCACTCCTCCCACACTTGCCCTCCAACCAAATCTTTGTAAAGTGGACTGAGAGGTTATTGTTATATAAATGCAAGTTATTGTACTTTTAAGTACCCCAAATGAAGGAATAACCCTGCTTACCAAGTCTAGCACATAGAACACACTTGTGGCAAGCAAATTCTTTCCCATCTTCTGACCTGAGGGTCACATCGGACAAATATGAACTAAATTGAGACCAAAAAAANGCAAATTACACTGGAACAAGGCCCATATAGATTTGGGAACCATCTTTAAACAAAAACAGTTTTTCAACAAATAGATACTCCTGCTCAAAGTGAAAGCACCACCAATTCAAGCCAACTAGAAGAAAATGGAAACTCATAATCTAGAATACAATTGTTCTTTAATCCAAATTCAGACACCTTTAGAACACTTCAAATATTGCATTCCATTTATATTTATGCAGCACTTACCATTTTTTCTGGTTAAATTTTAGTTTATTTCCACTTTTCTTGTGCATAACTTTTATTTTCCAATTTTCCAATTTAACACCATCTAACCTGAAAGGTAAGATTCAAACTTAAGTTTAAAAAAAAATATACTGAACATGGCTTCTGAAGTGATAATAATAATTCTTGCATTTGATATAGTGCCATTTCATGTCTTCGAGACATCTCAAAGTGCTTTAGAATATACTGTAAAGTGAATTGACTGTATATTTTGTTGGCGAAACGGGGCAGCCAATTGCGCACAGCGGTGTCCCACAAGGGGACATAGTGCACAGTGTTGCAATACTTGGAAGCTGAAGAATAACAACAGCAAATTACATTTGTATAGCGCCTTTCACATCCGGAGGACGTCCCAAGGCGCTGGACAGTCAGGGATCCGCATCCGAGCTGGTGGTTGGGATCAGGAGGGGTGGAAGGCAGGGAGGTTGGGATTGGAAGGTGACCGAAGGCACAGTCGAAGAGGGCAGTCTTGAGACGGATGTTGAAGAAGGCAAGGGAGGGGACGAGGCGGATGGACTGCGGGGTGGATTTCTAGAAGGTGGGAGCAGAAAGGCTGAAGGCCCTCTGCCAATGGTGGAGCAGGCAATGCAGGGGACGTGAAGCAGAGGGAGCAGACAGGTTGGCAGGGATTAAGGGGTCACAGAGGTAGGGAGGATCAAGGCCATGGAGGGCTTTGAAGGTAAGGACCAAGATCTTGAAGCCAGTGGAATCGGGCAAGGATGGGGTTAATAGGGTCGCGAAGCCTGGTGCGGGAGAGGACACGGGCTGCAGAGTTCTGTGGAGCCTGCCTGACGATAGTGGGGCGAGCAAGACGGGGGATGTGAAACAGGCCAGAGCCCGCTGAGCGGAGAGGGTGAACAGAATGGTAGGGGTTTAGGAGGTTGGAGAAGTAGGGGGGAGCAAGACCGTGGAGGGCTTTGAAGGTGAGGACAAGGATCTTGAACGTATCCTCTGTGTGATGGGAAGTCAGTGGAGTTGGGCAAGGATGGGGGTGATAGGGTCAACAACTGTCTATCACTGCCACAACTGTTTGTCGTTTAAGTCATTAATTCCTACTCAAAGTTGCAAAAGTGACTGCTTTGAGTAACGACATCTACATCACACTGCCCACACTAAGCCAGCTCAATTTGCTTCAGGAGCAGAGTTCCTGTGAGTATTGGCATAACATACTTCTAGTTACCAGGAGTCACACTATCTGCGACTCAAGCCATCTTTCGCATATCACCACAATTCTGAACCTATTGTCCTAATATTCAAGTATAGTACTGTCATGTATTATGGTTTGCAATTATCCAAAGTTCATTAGTGGCACCACCTTCCCATCCCTTTCCATGCTGCCTCTCCTCTCATAATATGCTACGATAGCAAATAACACTTTACGACGCTACTGTGAAGTCAGTACTCTCATTTTACGACAGCTTTAATTCCTCCCAGAATACTGTATGGCTAACCAGAGTTGGCAACCCTACTCAAGTGACTAACTCTTTAACAATGTAATTATCCAAACTAATTATACAGGCTCGAATGAAATCGACTGGCTATCTTTCATGCAATAATTAAGCAAATTATGTAATTACCCAATATACATTTGAGCAGAGTACAATACCATGCAAACAAATAGTGAATTTTCAGTGTCTAGAAATTGCTATGCAATTAAATGCAGTGTGCAATTATTCAATATGCAATTAAGTGCACTGTACTTGAACAGCAGCATTTAGAATAAATAACTAGCTGAATTTCTCAGACCAATCTCACCTTGCAGACAAACTGCTGAGTCCAAATTTCTTTGCAATGCCCTGCAGCATTTTAACTGGATTAACTGCTTCATTTACTCCTTTGTTCCTTTTGCTGTTTTTGGTCTTGTTTTGCCCACTTGGTTGGTTCATCTGTTGTTTTTTGTAAACTTCACAGGCAGACATTCCTTTCATATCATTACAAAAGCTGAACCTTTGCATGGGTCTTTCCAGATTGGAAATTAGTGGATCTTGGTAGCCTTCCATTTTATCCTTGCACTGGATTTTTGGTTTGTAACCCTCCGTTAACAAGTCACAGGTGTCAGTATATATGAACTGCAAAAGGTAGGTAAATAAATCTGGCTGAACCTTATCCAGAATATACAAGTCACATCCCACTGCATCATCCTCCTTTAGCCGGATATCAGGGAGCTCAGAGTGTTGACTTTCAGGAAAGAAACATTTTCGAAAGTAATCTGATCGCATAGCCAGAATATACTTATGGGCAGGGAAAATCTGATTGATAACTTGACATGTAACATCATGGATGCTGTCTGTTTCACTGGCTTCTGTGAGCAATTTTCCAAAGTCTTTGGTAAAAGTTGATGAAGACACACTTGGAATTTCATATAGGCTGAAAAAGAATTTGCACATTCAGTGAAAGAGTAAAAGGTACAGAATCCAAATGCAATTTTTAGGGTGTTATTAAAAGCTAGATGATGATTTACTTTAAGGTAAATGAGTATATATTAAAGTTTTTAGCTTGCTAGTGATCAAACTAAAAACAAAGTTTACATGGATAGTAATAAAAATCCAGAATAAAACCACATATTGATTTGATCTATTTTTTCCCTATTCCACCATCATTACTCCACTCCCACATAAAATGTAAATCATTCTTGGGCTCTTAGTATAAACTCACCTAGTTTTTGGATCAGATTGTAAAACAGCAAAATTCCGTCCATTAGAATCCATGGTAATGAGCACAGCCCGGTGAACAGAAGAAAGCTTCTCAAGTTTAATCCTTTCGTACAAACTGCTGCTCACGTCCGTCGAGGTAACAGACTGATCTGAAGACTGCAGAATGCTGGACAATTCATCTGAAAACAGAAACCAAAAAAGGAAAGTAATTTCAAATACTTCGAGCAACATAATTTTTTTAAAAAAAAACAATCGGCAAAATAGTTTTAAAGCCAGGAGTTAGATTTTGTCTGACATTTGATACACAATTTACCACTATTTAGGTCAATACAAATTCATATGTAGTTCCTAGCTCAATCTTATTTGCCCCTCTTTAGGGAAAAATGAAAACACAAACTTGCATTTATATAGCGTCCTTCATGTAGGGTAATGTCTTGGAGTGCTTCTCTGGGATGAAGTTGGACGTCGAGCAAGGGAGAGGTGACCTTTAGCACGTTCAGAAAAATAAGATTTGAGGCGGAACTTTGACAAGTGTGATAGTAGGAAAAAGGTTCAAATTGGAAGTGGGGCGGGGTGCAACTGATGCCGTGGAAAAGATGCAAGACAAACAGGCTGTGAATGACAAAACATTATACTGCCTTTAAAATCTGCATCAAACAAACATTGTGGTCAGAATTGTTCCTGCCAAGGGCAGGGCATGTTACAGTGAAATAATCCACTGTGGTAGAAGGCTATCTTGATAGTAGTCAGTAATTTTACTGAAGTGCATTTATTGAACTTGGAGTAGCTAAAGTAAGAGTAGAGCACATCAATAAATAATTGTCAATTGTAAACGCAGAACCATTATCTGGAAAACCTTCTTTATTCAGAGTAATGGACATATGAAATAATCTACCAAGCTAATAGAGACTAAATACAATTAAACATTATGAGTTTATGTACTAGAGGGATTTGCTTTGGTGACTGAACAGACTATCTACTTTTCTAATGCTCTTACCAAATGGGGCAGTCAGATAGAAGATCAGTAGCTCCATCAACAGGAAAATCAAACATCCTACAATATTGCTATGTTATTGCTACCACCAGACGATACGATTCAATACCAGAAACCACTGGAAGTAAAACCTGAACTGCATTATGTAAAACTACAAAAGACAGAACACAACGAACCCTTGAAAGCAATTTTGTAATGTGGAGGAGGTTTTTCATTTAAAGCCATAGTGACCACAATTACATTTTTACTACACAGATCAAAAAGAATAAAAAATTCTACTTGGCAGCTAATTAAAGTAGTAGCTATAAAACAAAGTTGTAAAGAGATAAATTGAATAGAACAGCAAGAAAGAGAAAGGATCTAATCAGTTAAAGTCAGCCACTGACCACAAGCCAATATTGTAGGCTTAAACAGTCCAATAAAAAAACAGAAAGCTAATAGAGAATTACTGATCAGTAGCAGTTAATTTTTTTTAAATTGTGGTGCCTAATTCAAACAATTCAATTCCATTGCTTAACTCCTCACCTTTCTTTTCAGAGCCCTTTTTCTCTGTTCCAGTCCAGTGCCCTATAAACCCATCTCCATCCTGTGTAACAAACATCATTTCATTCTTGCTCAAAGTGATGTCTGACATGAAGACCTGTCGGCCATAGGCCCAACGGCATTGTTTAATGAAGCAGTTTGAAGACCTCCAACAAAACACCTGACACAGGAAGAGAAAAAAGAAAGCCAGCTGAGTGTTGAGGTAAAAAAGATGGAGTTAATTTAGAAATTAGAGAAAGAAACACAATGAATAGATCATCAATAGAATACCTTTAACTTTTTTTTAAATCCATCATAACTTGCTTTAACTATTTTATTTAATACCTCTCGTGGGGCAGTTTGAATCACACAGTTCAAGAAACTTACAAAAACAGATTTTAATCATAGACTCCTTAGTTTTCCATTTAGCTTTTCTCCACCCAAACGATTTTGCTCTGCATACTATTTTGCAGGTTCATCCACACACCCACAATCCACATTCATTGTATTCCTGAACTCTAATGATTACCTAATTATTGACAAGTTGAGATTTGTACAAACTGCGAAGCAAAATAAAAGGTCATTTAAATCCAAATTTTCAACCTTAAATCTTCAGCCTGCAAACAAAAAAACAAATTGGAGTGTCATAATTGACACAGACAGTATCTCCATCATGAAAACTCAAAGGAAGAGCTTTCACCTCCAAATAATTAACCATTACTAAATGACACAAAAAGTGTCCCAAGATTTGTTCATTTCTTATAGGGTGCTAGAACCAGAACTCTCATTTAGTAGATCTACTAGTAATTCCCTGGGCCACCAAACATCCTGACTTTTTGTCCCGCCAAGTACTCTGATTCTGGATCACAATGCTGAATCACCCACATGTGTTATGGTGTGACTTATTTACTTTAGGGCCCAGGAAATTATCCTTTAAGAAGCTTAAAACAAGGCAAATGTAACTGTCAAGAATGGCAGAATTCCATTTCTGAAGCCATTACAATTTAGAAAAAGGAAAGGTCTGCCCAGTGAAGCATTATGCATAAGACAACCATCGAGACTCAAACCTATTCCAATGTTGCTACTCATTTGACTTCTGCCATCACTTACTGTACACAGAATCAGCAAGTATAGGAGGCAGAAGAATAGAAAGATCAAACGAGGGAGGTCGCATAGATCTATGGCCTTAGAAATAAATACAACCCGCATGCAAAAGTTAATTGGAGCCATCATAGGAAGACAGTTGTGTGCAGCTGGTGGTCAGTGGTGCACCTCAACAGAATCGGGTAATATCGATTTTGTTGTAACCTATTCCTTTAATGTGTTTAGCTGTAAAAGATTTATACGTGTTAAAGCATTAATTTTGTAGTGCGTTTGCTGATACCGTCCATAATGTTTTTGTAGTCTCTCTCTGGCACCCTTACAGCAGTTTCATCCAAACCACCAAATCCCAATTTGATGTAAAGCTGCTTTGCACTTCAGGCCTGGATGCAGGTTTTCTGCCCCGAAATGGCAGAAATATTAAATAATTACTTTGCCTCAGTATTCACCAGAGAGACAGATCAGGTGAACATGACAGTAGAAGAAGAGATCAGAAATGATATAACTACATTCAAGATACAAAGGGGAGATATAATCGGAAAAACTAATGGAACTCAAGAGAGGATAAAACCTCTGGTCCAGGTGGATTACATCCGCGAATATTAAAAGAATCAAGGGAGGAGATAGCAGAGGCACTATTACACATATATAATAACTCATTAAAAAAGGGAGTAGTGCCAGAGGACTGGAGGATAGCTAATGTTATACCTCTATTTAAAAAGGGAGATAGAACAAGCCCAGGGAGCTATAGACCTGTCATCTTAAAATCAGTGGTAGGAAAGATAATGGAATCCACAGGCCGCAGATAATCCAGAACTCTGCAGCCCATGTCCTCTCCCGCACCAAACTTTGTGACCCCATCTCCCACTCTCACCCGACTCCATTTGCTCCCTATCCTTCAGAGGATCCAGTTCAAGATCTGGTCCTCACCTAAAAAGCCCTCCATGGCCTCCCCGCACCCTACCTCTGCGACCTACTGATCCCTTACCAACCTGCCCGTTCTCTCCGCTCAGCCGGCTCTGGCCTGCTCCACGTCCCCCGACCCACCCACCCCACCTCTGGCGTGAGAGCCTTCAGTCACTCTGCCCCAACCTCTGGAATTCCATCCCCCAGTCACTCCGCCTCGCCCCCTCCTTAGCCTCCTTCAAGTCCCACCTCAAGACCCTCCTCTTCGACCATGCCACTGGCCACCCCACTTCCCCTCCCTTCTCCCTCCCTGACCCCAGCTCAGGTCTGAAATGCTTAGCCTCCTTCGAGTCCCGCCTCAAGGCTCTCCTCTTCGACCATGCCATCGGCCACCCCCCTTCCCCTCCCTTCCCTTTTCCCCCCCGGACCCCAACTCGGGTCTGAAAACACTGTCCTGCGCCTTGGGACGTCCTCCCGACGTGAAAGGCTCTATACAAATGTAATCTTGCTTTTGTTGTTGTAATAGAAAAACAACGAGAAAAGCAAAACATAATAAAGAATAGCCAGCACAGATTTCAAAAAGGAAGGTCATGCTTGACCAACCTCAATTAATTTTTTGAAGGGGTAACAGAAAGAGTAGACAAAGGTAATGCAGTAGATGTAATATAATTAGATTTCCAAAATGCGTACAATAGGGTACCACATAATAGACTAATGAATAGGGTCAGAGCATGTGGAGTCAGGGGAAAAATAGTAGAATGGATAGCAAGCTGGCTACAAAACAGAAAACAGAGAGTAGGGGTAAAGGGTAGCTACACAGACTGGCAGGGGGTGGGCAGTGGTGTTCCACATAGATCGGTATTGGGATGACTGTTGTTCACAATATACATTAATGATTTGGACTCGGGAATCAGCAGTAGAATTCCAAAATTTGCAGACGACACCAAATTGGGGGGAGTAATTAATGCAGAGGAGGACTGCAACAAATTTCAGCAAGACATCAATAAACTTGCTGAGTGGGCATTTAAATGGCAAATGTATTTCAATGTAAAGTGTGAGGTGGTACATTTTGGTAGAAGGAATAAGGACATCACATACATCCTGGAAAATAAAAACCTATATGGGGTAGAGGAGCAAAGGGATCTAGGGGTACACATACACAATTCACTAAAAGTAGCAACACAAGTTAATAAGGCCATAAAAAAGGCAAACCAGACATTGGGGTTCATTTCTAGAGGGATAGAAATGAAAAGCAGGGAAGTTATGGTAAACTTCTATAGAACCTTGGTTAGACCACACTTATAATACTGTATGCAGTTCTGGTCCCCACATTAGAGAAGGGATGTAGAGGCACTGGAGAGGGTGAAAAGGAGATTCACAAGGATGATCCCAGAACTGAGAGGTTATACTTATCAGGAAAGGCTGAACATGCTTGGAATTTTTTCTCTTGAAAAGAGGGTAAGGGGTGACCTGAAAGAGGTCTTTAAAATTATGAAAGATTTTGATAGGGTAGACATAGGGAAGATGTTTCCACTTGTGGGGAGACCAAAACCAGGGGCCATCAATATAAAATAATCACAAATAGATCAAAAAGGGAAGTTAGAAGAAATTTCTTCACACAGAGAGTAGTGGGAATGTGGAATGTGCTACCACAGGGAGTTGTTGAGGCAAATAGCATAGATGTATTTAAGGGAAAGCTAAATAGTTACACGAGGGAGAAAGGAATAGAAGGTTATGCTTGAAGGCTTAGTTGAGGAAGGGCAGGAGGAGGCTCATGTGGAGCATAAACACCGGCAGACCAGTTGGGCCCAATGGCCTGTTTCTGTGCTGTATATTCTAATGTATTCTAATGTATTGCAATCTCTGCCTTGCATCTTTTTTTTTACTTATTTGCAGTCTGGGAGCCATATCCCTGCAGCAGGGGATATAGGAAGCGAAGATTCCAACCCATGAGCAAAACTATTAAAATATTTTATGTAATTAATTTTATGTTTTCTAACTGTTGCCAAAACATGGCTGGCCCTTTGTGTGGCTGGCCTCTGCCCCTAAAAAGCGTAATTTTAGACGATGCTCATTCTGTTCGCTTCACAATTCTTCCCTTCACAAACTGTAGACTATCCAGACCTCTGCAGCTCATGCCCTCTCCCGCACTAGGCTCCATGAGCCATCCTCGCCCAACTCTACTGGCTCCCCATCCCCCAGAGGATTGAGTTCAAGATCCTCGTCCTCACTTTTAAATCCCTCCATGGTATTGCCCCATCCTACTTCTGCAACCTTCTTAAACCCAACCAACTTGCCTGCTCCCTCCTCTCGGCAGACACTAACCAAGCTTCTCACCCCTGGCCTGCCTGATCCACCATCAAGCGGTTGGCTTTCAGCCTATCTACCCAGATCTCTGGAACTCCATCCTGGAGTGTCTTTGCCTCACCACTTTCTTCACCTCCTTTAAGGTCCATGTGAAGACCTTCTTCTTTGTCAATTTCGGTCATCATCCCTTCCTCCCCATTCCCCGTCTCTTGGTACCCCCAACCCCTCACAAATCCAACCCCAAGTTCATGTGCAAACCCTCGACTGTCCAGTGCCTTGGCATCCTCCCAATGTGAAAAGCACCAATATAAATGCAATTTTATTTTTATTTTGTTTACATCCAAGAGCTGCTGAGTGAGAAGTGCATAATGCACCTGTAGTTGCACATAGCTCAGATGTACCCGTGTTTAGGTGGGCACCTGAACACGGGTACACCTGAGCTATGTGCAAGTACACGTGCATTATGCACCATGTGTAAACACAGCTGTATTATGAGCTATGGATAAAAACACCTGAACTAAACACTAATTGCTCTTAAAAATGAATCAAAAAGACGACTAATTATGTCAACAATCATTCTCTTTTGTTATTTCCAGAATTAAGAGCACTTATAATTCCCTTTGTAACATTCTACACCAGCACATAACACACCTGTGTTTACTCAATATAAATTTGATGCATAGTACAACAGCAAACATTTATATAGCCCACTTCATGCAGGGTAGTGTCTCAGAGCATTGCGTAGTGACAGCCTTCGACACTGAGCAAGGGAAAGGCAGGAGGGGGAAGTGACCATAAGCGCAGTTCATCCGAATACACCCTATTGGCAATGAGTCTTGACCGAATCTTATAAATTAGAAGTCATGCGCAACAATTCAGCACGGTGTCTATCCCTTAACAGAATACCTCCTTCTAATTCACAAGTTAAACAGCGGCTTGAAATTTGGCTATAGATACAAATAATAATAATCCTAAATTAGATTACTAAATTAGGTAGGCTAGATAGGAAATGTATGTGATAAACTTTTACAACAAGCAAAAAACTTGCTTAAAAATACATTTAAATAGTGTCTTTCATGTTGGGAGGACGTCTCAAAGCACTTTAAAGTGCTGCAATGGCATCCAAGTAGGGGGTGAGGGGGTAAAGATGACCGAAAGAGCGATGGGGGAGGTATGTTTTGGTTACTTATGAAGCAACATCAGCGGCAGAGGATACTGTTGTTACAGAACTAGCCTTTGATCAATTAAAATGGTATTGGCAGATTATTTTAAGAAGTGATAAATATGTTAGAAAATTTTATGTTACTTTCTCTAACAGGATTTTCAAACCTACCTCCCATCCCCAAACCTCAGTAGAACAATTTCATAATCTTCATTGGTTATTAATGGTGATATTATTTTATTTATCAATAAGGGCAGTGTGGGGTGTTCCACTCTCTTATTGTTTTCTGCTCTGGTGATTGATTTCTTGGCCTTTAACACAAAGGCAAAGCAAGTCATGATGGAGGACAGAACAAAAGATCTCTTTATGTTAAAATAATATGTTGGTATTATTGGTAAATGTAAATGATACATTGTAAATCTATAATCAATCTATCTTTCCTGGTATCCTGGCCTGAAGACAATAACGTATTTGCCTGTCATAGCACAAAATAATTTTTTTCATTCTTTGGTCTAGCTATTAAAATAATATTTGCCAAGCATCCAGGGTGGTGCAGGGAGTCAGCAATTTGTGACTATACTTCTAGGACTTGGGTGTGAAAAACGTGCCTCTCTTTAAGAGTCCTAAGTGAAGTAAGTATGGGCAATCTCAATCTAAATCCTAGTGAAGAGGGAATGGTCAATATAGTTACTGAGTGCAAAATGTATTCAATTTCTCAGCATTTCTATTCTATACCTCAATAAGCACACAATGTGTGGAGTCCTGTAGCTCAGTGGTTAGAGCACTCGCTTTGCAAGCGAGAGACCTGGGTTCAATTCCAGGCAGGGCGAAACCTTGGGCAAGTTTCCTTACTCCACACAGAGCCTAATAATAATCCCTCCAAAACCAAAAACAATAATAAATTGGTCATTTTCAATCTACGACTGTTTGTGGGACATTGCTGTGTGCAATTGGCTGCCGCGTTCGCCCACAAATATACAGTCAATTCACTTTACAGTGTGTTCTGTGAAGCGCTTTGGGACATCCTCCCTACATGAAAAGTGCTATATCAAATGCAAGGATTATTATTATTATTATAAATTTACCAAAAATACAATTGTCATTTCACTGGAATATACTGCCCTAGGTATACTAAATAACCAAAATTCAGAATTCACATTAGAACCATTTTCCTTTTCAAACTGCTGGAGATTCAAAATTGTCTTTTTACCTGTGCAGCAATGTGTTCCAAGTTGAATTTCCTTCCCCACATCTTTTATATTTTCCAAATGTTCTACATAATGTTGGGAGTTAATTTAAGGCAAAACACTTGCAAGTAATAATAATCCTTGCATTTGCTACATCGTCATATCACATCAAGACATCACAAATTAGGATTTGGGTGAACACAGCAGCCAATTTGCGCACAGCAATGTCCCACAAACAACCATGGAGTCAGTGATCAATTCTATTTGGGGGATTATTGACCAAGATACCCAAAAAAACTCCCTTCGTTTTTCAAATAGTGGGATCAATAATGGCTTTGCCCCCAAAATATACAGTCACTCCACTTTACAATATATTCCATGAACCGTTTTGAGACATCTCAACGATGTGATAAGGCGCTATATTAAATGCAAAGATTATAATATTTGGTAATAATACCAATAATCCTTGCATTTGATATAGTTGAGACATCTAAAACCGCTTCACAGAATATACTGTAAAGTGGATTGACCATAGATGCATTATTCTACTCCTCACGCCTTCCCCCACTTGCGTGCAGTAAACCTTTTTCCAAATACCTCTCCATTTCTGTAATGAGTTTGATCCCTGCTTTGAAGAACATTTAATCTGTATCAAACCATCTGCTTAGTTTTACATCATATACTATGTCCAAACTTGATGTTTTGTTCTGTGATGCTCTTTATAATACAAAATTGAAAATAACAGAAAGTTAAAAAGTGCTAATTTTCTTTTTTAAAAGAATGACAGTCTTACAGGTTAAAATGCTTGTCTATTCTATGGCCACTAGATGGCAGTAACCAGTCTTACACCATTGGTTAAATATGAAAGGCTGCTGCAAAGTAAAAGGTCTTCAATAGTGAGAAGATAATAAATATTCTAGCCGAAATGCAAACTTACGATTAAAATATGGGAATGCTTATGACAAAGTTGAGATTTATGTAGATTTCTGTTTTAATGCATTTTTAACCACTAACGTCCTAAAACACATTGCAACTTTACAGTTATATAGCATCTTACATGGTGGGAGGACATCCCAAAGTGCTTAACAGTCATAACAACTTGCATTTATAAAATGTTGTTCATTTTATAATATCTCAAGGCACTGATACCACACTCTAGAGGGGCGGGGGGGGGAAGTTCTAAATACTGTAAGAAAAAATAATTGAGGGAGAAGAAAAGGAAATGTACTCATTTACTTACCCTCCCTGCTTCATCCAAGGCAAGCATGCAAACTTTTTCTCCTCCACTTTCCTTCAGGACTTGAGGATCAGCCTTGTGATCCAGGTGTCCACCAGTTACAAGAACTTTCCTCAAGTTTAACTGCCTGCATGAATCAAAAGAAAAAATGAAACTCAATAGCTCATAAAACTTTTGATTTATATACAAATTACATACATATGTATAACTGGCAAAAGCTGGCAAAATAGTAGTCAGTGAAATATCACCTAACTTACTGCAGATATTTTACGTTTGGAAGGGAAGAAAGGAAATAAAAATAAAAGTTTAATAAGCTGCTTCCTTAATATTTATGTAACTTGTAAGAGGCATCTCATCAATAAAGCATAAAACATAAAGCATCAAAATGTAGGAACATGTTCACAGTAGGGAGAAAATTAAAAATACTTCCCTCAGAAAATATTTCCTTCAATATGACATGAATGTTTCTTCTGGGATGATCAAATGAAATGAAGCCAAAGTGAAATGTAAATGAAGACAAATACACTTAAAATCTGAATCTGCACAACATTCCACTGTAGTAATAAAAGGGAAAGAACTATTTTGCTACACAGCTATCTTTTAATCAGATTCCAACCTGGAAGCAATCTTTTTGCATTGATAGTCCGTCAACAGGTAGACATCTCCTTTTTCTGTAACAGAGATTGTTGCTCCATCACTAGCAACAGCCAGAGATATCATTGTATCCTTATGATGCAAAGCTGAGACTTGACGAGGTGCAAGCACGCATCGTTCCCCATTAGGATCCATCAAACAACCTAAGTCAATATTCAGATAAACTGTTATCAACGTATCACACAGGGATGAATATCTATTCAGAGCTATTTATATTGCAGCCTTCAGAACAATTTAAAAAAATAAACAAAAATGTGATTAGAGAATGTAAAAATGACAGAGCAGAAAATTACCCTGCAACTAAATAACTACACTAAAACCCCGGCTAGCCAGAACAATGGGGGTGGAGGGATTGAGGGGTGGGGAGAGAAGTGGGGGGAGGCCGGGGGGAGAAAGTGATCCGGTCCACCAAGCCGGAATTTCCAGCTAAGTATAATTACAATGTCAGTACTGGCATTGTAATTGTTTGAATCCCACGAACAGAAAATAAGAATTAGGAGCAGGAGTAGGCCATTCGGCCCCTCGAGCCTACCCGGCCATTCGATAAGATCATGGCTGATCTTCAGACCTACCTGCCCTATTCCCATATCTAATTACCTGCCCTATTCCCATATCCCCTAATCCCTCTATTTTTTAAAAATCTATCAGTCTCAGCCTTGAAGATGTTCAAGGACTGAGCATCTACAGCCTTCTGGGGTAGTGAGTTCCATAAATTCACTGCCCTCTGAGTGGAGAAATGTTTCCTCAACTCTGTTCTAAAATGCTGACCCTTAATTTTAAGACTGTGACCCCTGGTTATAGATTCTCCTACCAGGGGAAACAGTCCCTCAGTGTCTACTTTATCCAGCCCTTTAAGAATCTTATATGTTTCAATAAGATCCCCCCTAATTCTTCTGTACTCTATAGAGAATATAGCCCCAGTTTATTCAGCCTATCCTCATAGGTCAGTCCCCTCATCCCAGGAACTAACCGAGTTAATCTACGCTGTACCCCCTCTAGGGCAAGTATGTCCTTTTTTAAATAAGGAGATCAAAACTGCACACAATACTCGAGGTGCGGTCTCACCAATGCCCTATAAATGCAAGGATTATTATACAGTTGCAACAAGACTTCCCTACTCTTGTACTCTAAACCTTTTGCAATGAACGCTAACATGCCGTTCGCCTTCTTAGTTGCTGCTGCACCTGCAAACTAACTTTTTGAGACTGGTGTACAAGGACACCCAAATCCCTCTGAACACTAACGCTATCTAATCTCTCCCCCTCTAGAAAATAATCTGTTTTTCTACCTAGGTGAAACCTTGGGCAAGTTTCCTTACTCCACACGCCTAATAATAATCCCTCCAAAACCAAAAACAATAATAAATTGTTCATTTTCAATCTACGACTGTTTGTGGGACATTGCTGTGCGTAATTGGCTGCCGCGTTCGCCCACAAATATTCACTTTACAGTATATTCTGTGAAGCGCTTTGGGACGTCCTCCCGACGTGAAAAGCGCTATATCAAATGCAAGGATTATTATTATTATTATGCTAATATGTTCCCATTAATCCCGTGGGCCTTAACCTTGTGCAATAGCCTTTTGTGTGGCACTTTGTCAAATGCCTTTTTAAAATCTAAATATACTACATCTACTAGTTCCCCCCTATCTAACCTGCTAGATACATCTTCAAAAAAAACCTCTAAGATAGTGAATAAGATATCTTCTGCTTGTGGTTTTGAACTATGTCAAAGTCAGTATCCCTGGCCATTGAAGGCCAGCAAGCATGGCACTATGAGAGTGGCTTAGCAGGAGCCTATACACATGGGCCCATCCAAGGAAATTTAAAAAAAAGCTTCACTTTCAGGCCCGGTTCAAATTCCAGATACCTGGAGTCTGGTAGGAATCTACCAGATTCTGGTAGGAGTCTGGTATGAAATCTTCTCATAAAGATTTTTTTTAAACAATCTGCATCCAACTACATATTTTTACATCTTACCAAGCTGTCCACCATTTAGACCCATGGTATATACTGCCTCCTTTGTCCATAGCACAGTGTGGAACCTTCCTGCAGCAACTCCAATGACAGTTCGTCCTTTAAGAGTTTTAGACTGTACCTAATTCAAAGAAATCCATAGGAATAATTTCTATATAAAAAACTGTATTTCTGTACGTAAATAGACTACCGCATTCACCTACAAATAAACAGTCACTACATTTTCCAGTATATCCTATGAAGCGTTTTGAAACATCTTTCCAATGTGAATGCATGATATTAAATGTAAATATTATTATAGTATGAAAAATAACTTTAGGAACTAAAGGTATTCTATATTGTATTTCAGCACAACATGCTCATGATGGTATTATGATGGTGGACACAGCCAATATTAAAAATCCAATGTACATACTTGAAGCTAATTCCTTACACCAACAAATTTTCTTGATTTCATATTTCTTGATTTGTGCCATAAATCAAGAAATATTCAATCAAGAAAAAAATGGAAACACATTGCTGATTGAGCATGGACTTACCCAGACTAGAGCAAATATTTGGGGGGGGGGGGGGGCAGGTGGCACTTCTTGGCCACCATGAGTTGGCCACCACTGCCTAACATCCTCCAGAGCGGAAAATACCCAATTTTCATCCCGGCAAATCCTAACTATGTAGTAGCTGAATGTAGAAAGAATTTAAAGTATTCTACGGGACAGGATTTACCCATGCACTGATTTTTAAATATGCACTGATTTTTTACTTTCATTTGTCTGATAATAACTGTTTTACTATAAGCATATAGATTGTTCTTGTACCTCACCTGTCTTGGTATGCTGCTGATAGCTGGTGGAGGGACGATACCCAGCTGAAAGTAAGTGTTCACTCCAAAGGTGTAAATAGATCCATCTTCTGTTAAGACAACAGTATGGTCCTTGGCAGCTGCCACCTGAGCACAACAATGGTTAGCTAAGCCTTCCACCATCCGGGGAACCTAACAAAAGTGCACAATAAAAAAACAATATCAACTTCACATCACCTACAAATGCACTGGCACTACACTCTACAGTAAATCCTGGGAAGCACAGAGATGTTTTGATTACAAGAAAACCTGCTATAGTAAAACACGCACAAGTCACAAATCGTATGATGGCCTAAGTTGTACATTCACCCGATTCCCTATCAAAACCACTTAGATTTCTTTGCACTTCTCGGATTAATCACCCCCAATCTCATAATGCCGCTCCCCTATCCTCCATCAATTAGCTGCCACATTTCACCCACAAATATACAGTCAATTCACTTTGCAGTATATTCAATGAAGCGCTTGGAGACGTCTAGAAGACGTGAAAAGCGCTATATCAAATCCAAGGATTATTATTATTATTACACCCGCCTGCAACTCAGACTTCACGGAAGTCATGTTAAATTCTGGTACCATTTATATCAAATGGATATATACTAATTTCGTCTCAAGTAGTAGAACTTTTGTTTGCAACATTGTTTGTGTTTAAACAATATTGCTGACTGCAATTGGCTGCCACATTTCACCCACAAAATACACCGTCAATTCACTTTTCAGTATATTCTGTGAAGAGCTTTGACATGTCTCAACCATGTGATAAGGCGCTATATCAAATGTAAGGATTATTATTATTAACATTCATATTGATAAACTACCCATTGTATTTTTGAACAGGCTAGTTTTCCCTGCAGACTTTTGTTTTGCCTTTTTTGACTGATAATTCTTCATAGTATTATTTTTTTTTAAAAAAATTTCAATCTGGCTTAATTTCTTATATAATTATCTGTTAGCACCCTAGATGAAAGTTTTAGGATGGAAATTTTGTGGAAATGTCTTGTGTTTACAGGGAGGGTAAACAATCCTGCAGTATGATAATTTACTATGAAGGATCCATAAGTACGTCATGAATGAGTATCAAGTTCAAAAACAGTAATTTGAACTAAATTAGGTGATCTTGAATTTCTTTGAAAAACAAAACCCTAAGGGCAATTAAATCAATTAGGAGTTGCCCCTCTGTCTTTAAATATGACGTTCAAACTCATAGCCCAATCATATTAGACTTTCAAACCAATATCTTAAATTGTCTGAACAGTTTTTTTCAATTTATAAGTGGAAGCCAGTTAAGCCGGACACATCAGGAAAGGCCATTTTGTACGATTTAAGAGGTGTTCGAGGATAACCGAAATACCATTTCCTCCCAGCAGAGGACCCCCGCCAATGCCAAATAAAAATATGTAATCATGTTGTTTCACTTGAAGTAATGTTGACTAACCAAACAGGACACCAAGTATTTTAACCAAGTCAAAGTTAAAATCCTATACTTTCACAGAATTCAGTAAAATGTATTTACCTTTATTTGGCTGCAAAATACCAGCAGAGAGCGGCGCTTCCTCCAGTCCTCCCAATGCCATTCCCATTGGGATGAGAAGGGGAGCAATTAGCTTGAGGTGATTGACAGCCGGCATCCGTTTGTGAATGGATAGGATCCACTCATTCACAAGCAGCTCAGCTGTCAATCAATCGTGATATTTGCTCCCTTGTTCTTCCCTGTTGCTCCGTCTCCTGACTGATTGACAGCCCAACTCCAGCTGCTTGTGACTGGCTGGACTCCACTATCAATTAATCTTAAGACTCCTCCCATCTATGTCCGGGACCCCCTTTATGGCTGAATGGAGTTACAGAAGGCCTGAGTGAGTAAATTCAGTGGCAAACCAGTGTGGCATTTTGCCTGGAATAAATGGATTTTTGTTCAAATCAACCACTGTATTTAAGAATACAAATGAATCGGGGCTGGGGGTCCAGTTAATGCCGTTTAACCGGCATCCGGCAAAAGCGGATTTCACTGTACATTTGGGAATACGTACTTCAAAAACTATTGCTCCCAATATTAGTGCTCACATCTACCATGCACTAAGAAAAACAGTTAAAATAAATGTTTCAATTGACTTTGAAGTCTTACCAAATACTCTATGGGTCATTAATCTGTGCATTATAGTTACATGAATATTTTATCCCATTTACTCTGATGTGATATATGCAAAATAGTTGGTAACAGCAAAGCACAATGACTAAATGTCTTGTCCATCCATTAATCTTTATATTGCAGGTGAACTGCCAATTTTTCTCCTTAGAAACTTGCAACATCAAACAATTTTAAGAACTTTGTAAAATCTTAGGTCATGGGAGGCAATAATATATTTGCTCATGTGATTATCCATAACTTACTTGTAACTTGCCAATTACAAGTTACTTGTCAGCCTCAAGTGAATATATAGATTATATATTATTTCTATGTTTAGGCAAATTTACACTACTTGTATAATTTACATAATGTATACTGCAGGAGCAGTCAGGCTGTAAAAAATATTGCATTTCAGGCTTAGAATACATCTTCCCCCTCCCTCCCCACTGATTGGTGTTGTTGGGTCAGTTGTTGGATCAAGGTCATAAGCGCCCACAATGGTCTCATCCTTCTGCTTTGAGCACAGCAACATACTCAGGTCAATAGATTATTACTATTGTCCTCAATCAATGTCAAGATACATACAATAAAACGAAATCATGAACAGGGTTAAACAGTTTTATATTCCACAAGTGACCATAACGAGATAACTGATGAACATCGTGAATCACTTACAAATTTGCCTTAAGAGTAGGAATATAAAATCAGTTCACAGCTGGCTAATACTAGTTTTTTTTTATTTTTGCCCTTTTTTATGTTTGAAACAATTTTATCGAAATACCGGTTTAAACTGATAGTATTACAATGTTAAGAATAATTTTGACCTACTAGATATGTTTGCTCATCTCCATGCCCAAGACGACCTCCTTGGCCATGACCACAGGTGTATATTTGTCCTTTCTGGGACAGGAAAACAGAATGGAACTTGCAAAGCACAACCTGAAAAAGCATAAAAACAAAATTAACAAATAGTCGATCAGCAGCACTTTCCTTTTGTTTTTACTGATTAAACATTTCCACGAGATTGTATCTTGCCTGCCTATAATTTAGGAAAGAATTTGTGTCTATTTGATGGGACACAAGAAACCAATTCAGTTCCAATTACCACACCATGGAAACTATATTTGATACATGGAGTTTCACGACAAGCTTAATGGTGCATTCCCAAGTCAGAATCAAGATAATTAGCTTGACTACGCTCCTTGTGTGGTTCAATTTTATACAAGACATTCATTTAATGCATTCTTGAATCCAAGACCCTAGAATTAAATCCATTTAAACTTAGCATATATATAATATATATATATACACACACACATATTTAAAAATAAATCAGCAGTCTAACAATAAATTCAAGATGACAAAGATCATTTGAGCAGTAATGGTGTTCTCAGTGCATTGAACACAGAAAGAGCATTCACCACAATTTACTAAATGCAACTAACCAGCAGAAGATTAATAATGCACCAACGTTTATTTTTATTATAATCTGTTTCCCCAGTTCCAGAGAACAAGTGTACAAGATAAATTCTTTCAACAGAGTTGAACTGTAATATCACCCATCCATTGAAGAGTGACATACAATTAGATCTGTAACCTGATGCATGCATCCTTGATCCAGAGGAAAATCTGCACTATGAAGTCTTAGTGCTCATTTTGCTTTCCAAAACACGTATTACATTCAAACATAAGATAATTTATAAAGTCAGTGAAGCACTACAGACCAACACAATGACCTAATTTAAATTGTATCATCTGATACCATACATCATCTTATTGCCTGGGAGCTCTTTAATTTACATCCCTCAAAACTACTTTCGATTATTTTCATTACATGAGTAACATGTGCGGTCAAATGTCACCCATTCAGCTGGTCCAAAATCAATTTCTTGTTCACAAGGATATTAATCAAAGTTTGCATTAAAGGATTGCTAATGAAAACAATTTGAGATTCTGTGTTCTTATCACGCATCACTCTCCCAATGCATTAGCACACTGTCAGAATACTTTCAAAGGGAGAGTATAAAATAGCTCACATGGTTAAAAGATTTTAATCTTGGGGTCAGATGCGTTTGTTAGGCAATAAACTGAAAATTATTTAATCTGCTACAAAATCAAGATTGTAATGCAAAAAAAGATTTTAAAGCAATGCAATATAAAAGACAAACAGTCATACTTGTTTAATATAAACCCCAGATCTAGGGAAGAAGTCTACAAGTTCAGGGTGGTATTTGCTTTGCTGGCTCCCATGACCAAGAGTAAAATTGGTGTTGTTTCCCCAGGTATAGACTTCAGTAGGATCTGAAAAATGACAGTACTTTTTGAAAAATACAATAGTTCAAATAGCATTGAAACTCATTAAACATACAGATCAAACTTCTTTATAGCCCAAAGATAACATACAGATCAAGCCTCTTTATAGCCCAGTGGCATACATCATCCCAGCTCTGTGAAGCGCTTTGGGACGTCTAGAAGACGTGAAAAGCGCTATATCAAATACAAGGATTATTATTATTATTATTATAAGAAGCCTCTGCTATTGCCAGAGTTTTGCCACTAGAAAATGCATCTGAGCATCTTAGCCGGTATCTTTTAATGCTGTCTCCCCCGAGAAACCATCTGATCTCTACTCAGCATCTACTCATCCTCAGCTGGACTACTGCTGAAACTGGTTATGTGGTTATTCACAGCTTTACATTGTGCTCTAAACCACAACACAGCAAACGTTTAAGAAAATGCATAGCATCATTGTTTTTATATTAAAATAACTATTACACAGACAATGCAACAAAGAATGGAATGTACCAGTCTTTCTGTAAATCACATATGATGGTCTATCTTTCATGGCCAAGTCAAGTGTAGACAACCCGTCTTTGTCATGTACACAGTGAGTACTCCCATGCTGCAAAAAAAAATACAAATTAGAACTAGACTGTAGAACTTTACAGACAAGGAAACAAGATGCATGTATTTGCAGTACAATCATGTTCCTTTCAAATCATATCTGAAATACAAATTTCATTTACTTTCTTGACAGCTTTGTCCACCTGTGTTCCCACCTTTAAGGATTTATGTACGTTACCAGCTAGCATACACCTGCTCTCTTTATTCTTCATCCCAAATCCCTCGCATTCAATATAGTAGCTTAAGCAATGCGAGACCCTACCCCGCATGAAGGCAGGTAGAAATGCGTTGTTATTACCACATTGTCAGAACTTCTCAAAGCGCTCCACAGGATTTATTGTAAAGTGCAGTAACTGTATATTTGTAGGCAAAATTAACAACAAGTTTGCACTTATAAAGTGCCCTCCACACAGGGTAGCATCTCAGATCGCTCAACAGTGGCGGTGCCTGACTCCGAGCTGGACGGTGGGGGCGGGGAGATGGCATTATTGCACAGTTGAAGAGGAAGGTTTTCAGGTGGTATTTCAAAAAGGGGAGAGGGACATCAGGTAAAACTTCCATTTTTCCAAATAATGGCATAAGATGAACAGACAGAACAGGCAGACGATACCTAGGTTTATCATGTTACCTCCAATTGCTATGATAGCAATGTCAAAGGATTGTACAGGAATCTAGATTATCATCTTTGGATCAAACAATAAACCGAGGCTCCGTCTGCCTGCTCAGGTAGACATTAAAGATCTCCTGGCACTATTTGAAAAATGGAGTTTCTCCTGCTGTCCCTGCTAAAAACAAATTCACTTTATGGCCGTTTGTGGGACATTGCTATGCGCAAACTGACTACTGCATTTACCCTCAAAACAGTCACTACACTTTGCAGTATAAACTGTGAAGTGCTTTGGGATGCCCTCCTGACATGAAAGGCACTGTACCAAATGCAAAGGTTACATAATAATCCTTGCATTTGATACAGGAACATATCACGTTGTTGAGATGTCTCAAAGCGCTTCACAGAATGTAGTGTAAAGTGGATTGACTCTTTGTGGGTGAAACACTGCAGCCAATTGCGCACAGCAGTGCCCCACAACCAGTTGTGGATTGAGTGACCAAAGTTTTTTTCCAGCATGACACCTACATTTAAAACATCTCACATTGCTTTTAATGAAAGGGTTTTATCGGAAGAAAGTAAATCTCCTGTCTAGGAGATCTAGAGATCATCTACTGGCATCAGCTTAAGAACATAAGAAATACTAGACGTAAAAAGACCAAGGTCCACCTAGTTGGCCTTCCACTTTCCTGGCAGTCGTATGCACATATGTCCTTGATTATATGCACCTCAATACTTTATTTTTCTATGCTGACAAAAATATCTTTGTCTAATAAAGATGATCCAAATAATTTTGTAAGGCAGAGTTCATTCATGCTGCTTAGCTTTGCTGCTAAGGAGTGTGTGGTGAATTCTGTGTCTCGCTGAGGTGCTGAGCAGAAACTGTTGACATTTTACTGGGACCAGTGCCACGATTTCAAAAGCAACACTTATTTTACTCATTTATGTAATGGAATGAATGGTGATGTCTGAGCAAACTTGTCAACCAACCTGTATCAGATCTGTAGAACATTAGAAAAGCAAACTTATGCCAACAAAAAAGCTACCTATGGGAAAATATCCTGACCCAAGCATGTCTAAAGCTGAACACTTCAGGCTACAAATACCAGACTCATCTATCCAGGCCATAAATAAGACTGTTGTAAGAGCTCAACACTCTTGAATATTAGTCTTGAAGATTAGTTTAGGAACATCCTCAATGATGGGGAAAAGCCTGTCACTGAAGCACTAGTTGCTGAAATCTGTTCCTGTGGATCAGATTTAAAAAACATCTGCAGAGTGTTTGGGTGCTTAATTGCTTTGCTAAATGATTTACCCTTGGGGTCTTTTTTCTTCTGGGGGCACAGACACTTGATCTGTATGAGTGATTTCTCATATTTAGTCTGAGTGAGAACCATCAACAGGGAGTATGTATGACATGTGGATAAGCTGTGTGTGTGTGTGTTTGGGGGTGGGGGGGGGGGTCATCAATTAAGTAAAAACTACATTTGTAAGGTCTCAGAAGTACTGCAGTAAAAAGACCTAAATTTGCACAAACTATTTTGGTGACAGGAGGAAGAATTGTTGAAAATATAAAAATTGTGCACACTCCTATGATGGGGTGGAGTTTCTGAATAGATCAATAATACGTTTGATAATTATCAAATTTAATTATGGCTAGATCCCTAGAATCTCTGCTCACGCACATACGAGCCGCACTTAAATCACTTGTGCACACACACATGCCACACTCACCGAATCATTCACATATCACACGAGGATAAAGAACCTGTCGACGACATAAGTACTAATGACACAATATATGTGACAATGTTAAGGACTTGAAAAATTTGTCGACATAAGCATGTCAAAGTTTATGTTGTCATATGTGACAAGTTTATTGTGTTCCAGTGTGGGGAAGGGACTGCAATTTATTTTCGACATGAGAAGGATGTCAATATAAATGGGTTCAAGTGGGTATTAGAGAGTTCGAAGGTCTCCAAAGCTTGTTGACTGGAGCAGAAGTTTATGAAGTCTTGGTCCTCTTAACGAACACATAATGCCATCAGAGCTAATTTCCTGAAGCATTCCATACAATGGCTTTAAGCTAAAATCTATTCTCTTTCTAACCTGGAGCTAGAAATTAACTCTGCATATTGGAAAGGAATAATGACATATATATTTTTAATATGATGTGATAGCAGAAAGAGCAAGAAAAATCCCATAATGAACACCATCGCCAAAGTCACGACTTTTAATGGCCAAGAGGAATTTCATTCCCTCAGATTTATTTTCCTATAATGAATTCAGATTACTGTCCAGTATCATCCTTTTTATAGTCTATGAAATGCTTTGAAAGGTCTCAACAACATGACAAGGAGCTATATCAAATGCAAGGATTATTATTGCTGCAAAGCAGCAATCCACAAGACTGATTTGGAGGCAAAGGCCTTTCACTCTATTTCATCTCACTGTTCCAGAATACCCACCCTACCATTCTCCCATCACAGATTTGAGCCATTTTTCAAATGAGTCCTGGCCTCAACAACCACTCCTGGTAATTTGTTCCAGTTGTTAATTATCCTGAGTGAATAAATATTTCCTGGCATTTGTCCTGGAATTGCCCTTTGCAACCTTACGCCTGTTCTGCTGTCTCAGGTGCATCCCAAAGTATTGTTCTTGACTAATTATCTCAATCCTACTTAAAATATTTCATATTCTGACATGTCTTGTTTCAGAACTGAAGAGCCCAGCTTGTCTAATCGTTGCTCACAGCTCATTCCTTTAACACTGGGGATCATTTTCATTGGTCCCCTCTACATAGGGGCTTGGGCAGTCCCTTTATGTCACAGCAACCAGAACTGTGTGCAGTATTCTTGTTGCAGCACTATATATTTTGAGTATGGGTTCTGTCTGAGTATCTTTCTGCCTCCACCCTCAACTCCAGGACCACTGCTGTCCTGACAGACTGTCTGTCAGACATCAAGTCCTGGATGAGGGCAAATTTCCTACAGTCGAATGTGAACAAGACTGAGGCCCTCCTGATTGGCTCGTGCCAGCACCTCAGCACCTCAGGCTCTGGCAGCATCACCTCCATGGTTGCACACTTCAACTCACCAGCCAGTCAGGAACCTGGGTGTCTTGTTCGACCCTCAACATCTTTTCTTCCCCACATCCAAGCCATGACCCGCTCTGCCTTCCCTCACCTCCGTAACATCGCCCAACTCCGCCACTACCTCACCCCTCAGGCCACTGAAACTCTTGTTCATGCCTTCATCACCTCCAGGCTCGACTATGCAAACGCCCTGCTTATTGGCCTTCCCAACTCCTCCCTTCACAGGTTGCAGATAATCCAGAACTCTGCAGCCCATGTCCTCTCCCGCACCAAACTCCGTGACCCCATCTCCCCCGACTCCACTGGCTCCCTATTCTTCAGAGGATCCAGTTCAAGATCGTGGTATTCACCTACAAAGCCCTCCATGGCCTCGCCCCACCCTACCTCTGCAACCTCCTAAACCTCTACCAACCCGCCCGCGCTCTCCGCTCAGTCGGCTCTGGCCTGCTCCACGTCCCCCGCCCCACCCGCCCCACCATTGGTGGGAGAGCCTTCAGCCACTCTGCCACCAACCTCTGGAGTTCCATCCCTCAGTCACTCCGCCTCGCCCCCTCCTTAGCTTCCTTCAAGTCCCGCCTCAAGACCCTCCTCTTCCACCATGCCATCGGCCACCCCCCTTCCCCTCCCTTCTCCCCCCGACCCCAGCTCGGGTCTGAAATACTGTACACTGTCCAGTGCTTGGGACGTCCTCCCGACGTGAAAGGCGCTATACAAATGTAATCTTGTTGTTGTTGATGATCCCAATTCAACCAATTTTCCAATATATGCCAGCTTTTTGTTTGTCCTATTTATTGCTGCCTTACACAGTTTTGACAGGGTGAGCAGTGGATGAGTCAACTAACATCCCTAGATCACTTTCAGCTTCCCCATTGGTGCAAATTATTATTATTATAAATTCTGTCCCATCCATAAAATACATGCATCTCCTATTCTTATTTCCTACAGGCTTTCCCTTGCATTTCCCTGTTTTGATGGTAGCTTTATTTCTTGGAGCACACATTAGCCATATCTGAATTTTGAATTAAGTTGACTGTTCAAAATGTGAACAAAAAAAAGAGTATACAGTACCTTTAGAAGAGACACAGCACAATCAATATGCCCATAGAATATACTTCTATGAAGAGCGGTCCATCCAGATTCCTTATCCTTCACCGAAGGATCAGCCCCTCTCTTTTCTAGGAGCCAATCTACAACAGCTTTCTTACCACATGATGCAGCCATGTGCAGAGTTGTTCTGCCAAAACTATCCTTCAGAGAAGCTGCATTGTAGCAATAAGATGAAAGGAAGGCCTTATTCTGGCCTTCAGTTCCCTTAGTTAGTACTGAAATCATATCGAGGGCATGCTGCAGGGAACGGCATTTTGGAGTGCAGTCAGCGGTCAGCAAACTCATTCTGCTGGTCCAGTCTCTGTACTCTTGAAGAAAAAGTCTCTGAGAAGTTTCTATCGGAGTTGTGTTGGCTGGCAGAAATGCCACCAAGCGCTAGAATTGTGCATGTGCTGTAAAAACACTGCACTCTAGCAATCCCCCAGTCTTAGTTACATCAATTCAGTAATTAGAAGCATTTCTTAGTTCAAGAAATTGCTCCTTCAAGTTATAAAACATATATGGCACTTTCTGTTGCATTAAATAGACAAAAATAGAAAATCATTTATTATAATAAGTCTATATAAAAACAAACTTTGTTTTGTAAATTTCCAGTCAATGTTTAACCATCACACTCTCCAGATAACCATTCTTTGGCAGCCAACCTCCATGGGGAAACTCCCCTCCGCCCCAGCAACTCTTCTTTCTTGTTTATGCCTCCATAATTGTCAGCGGTACCTGTAAAGCAATAAAAGAATATTATAATCAGCTCAATACATACCAAATACTTGTAATCAAATTGCTGAAGTTTTAAACCTACGCTTCTTAGATGTTAAATGACTAGTCAGTTATTATCCATCGGGGGGAGAAGGCAGGGAAGGGATGAGAAGTAAGCTGAGTCTCCCTAGAGGTAAACTTGGCTCCAAGTTGACATGTTTGCCAACAGAATATCGGAATCAAGCCAATTGCCTGTGGCAGTCTCGGTAGTCCGATTCCTAAGCCAGGTGGGCACTGCTCATGATAAACCAGCCAGTGTGGCTCATCGGCAGGACTTTGAATGTCACTGGAGGCAGGGTTCCTTCCCACTCAGTTCCTGTTAACTTTGCAAGCCCAACGGCAGCAAACGCATTCTGCCTTGTCCAGTTTCTTGAAGAAAATGTATCTGAGAAGTTTCAATTGAAGTTGCACTGGATAGCAGAAATACCATCAAGTATGGTATTTTCTACATGTATCAGATACCCATTTCCCCCCAACTAGCAAATATTTCAAACCTTATAATGGAGTATGTTTCCAAGAGTTCTGTGTACCCTCCAGTACATCACTGAGTGGTGAGTCTCAACATAATAGCAGCCTATTCAACCACATGCGGCATCACAGGCAAGCATGATCTCATCTTTAAACATTCATCCACAGCAGAAACCCTGACTGATTTCCCACCTCTAACTTGGCAGTATTGAGGACAATAGTATTTCCCCAATTGCTGAGCGCAAAATATACAGTCAATTCACTTTACAATATATTACATGAAGCGTTTTGAGATGTCTCGAAGACCTGATAAGGTGCTATATCAAATGGAAAGATTATTATTATTATTAGTAGTAGTATTATCAACAACAGCTAACTAAGATCAGGAATCAAACCTGCAATATTCTGATCCATATAGCTTGGTGCTCACCAAGCAACATATTTACCTATTGGGCCATTGAATTAACCATATTTATGTACAGAAAAGATCCTGGCTTAGCAACCCTCGCTTGAAATCAAAAAATATCCTTAAGTGTGACCACAAGCAGAATACTACAAATGTTACCCTATATTACTGTATGGCAAGAATCCATTTAACCACATGTAAATAATCATTCTCCCTCGCCTACGGTCACCTTCCCCCTCCTCCTGGCTTGGCCTCAGGCTCCACCATTGTTCAGCGCTCTGAGACGCCACCCAGCATGGAGGGCGTTATATAACTGCAGGTTGTTGTTGTTGTAATAGCTTAAATCATCTAAAAAGTGTAAAGCACAAATCATGGTATTTATGTTATGGTATTACAATTTCTTTGTAATCTTAAAACTGTTCTTACTGCAATGTTTACTGCTCTTACATCTACTACAATGCATCACAAAAGTCTGGAATGTCCTGCTGTGCTCATTTGGCATGACACAAACTTTCAGAAATTTTGTGCAAAAGTGTATATAAAACTTCTTATACAGTATAAACATTTTATAAAGTGAATTAATGACTGTAAATTTAATTTCAGATTAAGTTGACAGCCATAAACCATTGAAACTTTCTTTTCGGAGTTTATTCTGAGCGTTTCCAACTAAACTATAACCCACACTCCAGGATTATTCATGTTATAAATTAAAATAGCATCTACTAAAACATTGCTATGAATACATTATTTTCACTTTGGCAGGCCAATAGATACAAAACAGAGACTACTGACCAACTACAATCAAAGAACACAGAATGTAGCTGCACATAAAGGTAATTCAAGGTATAAATAAGACAAACATTAACCACCACTTTCAAGGAATATAGCAGCAGCTGTTTCTGAAGTAAAGATGGAAAAATTGGAACGGAAATCACTTCATTCAGCATCAAACTCCATTTCATTGTCAACATCTATGTACTAACTTAATATCATGTACTGTTTTATCCATGTATAAGGATGATAATAAAGTAGATTTAGTGTTTCTGCACTAGGTATCACCATTTCTTTTGCACCATTCAGAAATTCAGCCAATTTTTTCCTTTAACTGAGCCAACGTTTCAGGATTTGTATTTACACTATCCCGGCAGTAATATTTTCCAGTTGTTTTGAATTGATGGGAGTTTGTGTGCCATATAAGGGAATCTGACATTCATAACCAACCATTTCCTCAGATAAAGCAAACCATCGTTCTGAATTATCACTGCAGAAAACAACTATTCTCAAGTTCACTATTATGTGAATGCAATCATACAGTACACAGAGTACTCATTGCCAACCAATTTGATCCTTATTGAAATTCCAGCCTTCACAATCAGGCCTGTTCTGTAAATGGAAAGAGTAACCATGGAGGAACTAGGCATCAGCCCAATTATATTCTGCACATAAATCCTATTTGCTGCCCACTTTTTCATATCTCTGGGAGTAAATGTGCCATGTGTGGCACTGAGCCATGCAATGCAGGACGGTCCATGGTTAAACCATATGCTGAGTTAGTTGTTTTCAATTACGGTGGTAGCAAGAGTTTAACAATTAGTTTCTGCTGAAGAGTTGAGAGAGAACATCAGCCAGAATTTCTGCTCCCAATTGCAAACCAACAAACCTTGCTGTGTAAGGGAACTATGAGACAGTCAGATTCAGCTTTAATGGACCCTGTAGTTGAACAAACAGCCTGTTGATGTTAACTGTCAAAGGTCACTTGTAACAATTACTGTAATAACTTGGCTACCATCACCAGTTTAATCATATTTCTTCAGGAGTTACCCTCCCTAAACGGGGAGAAGTACGGGCAAAGAAAAATACATACCAAAGATAATTTTCTTTTTTTAGTTCCATATAGAACTCTGCTCCGGAAACAATGAAGTTGATGACTTGCACTTATCAACTAATTGTAACCCCAACCATTTTTAAAAACAAACATGTCAGAAGATTGTTTTACACTATTGTCCAATCATGATCACACTAAATTTTAGATTTTGTGTGGAATTGGATGGGTGGACTAGATGACATTCTCCTGCCTGAATCCATTACTATGTTTCTATGTAAAACAGTTTCCATTTCAATGCAGTGATCAAATTACACCATAGTAAACAAAACTGAGCCTTAACATTCTACACTTCGATTTATTTTCAAGACAAATGATGAATAATTTTCTGCTTAAAAATGTTCCTTTTGTTTATTTCTCATGGATGTTCACCATTTTCACCACGTCTGTTTTTGGTCCACTGCTGTGCGCAATTGGTTGCTGCAATACGCCCACAGAATACACAGTCACTACACCGTATGGTATATTTTGTGAAGCACTTTGAGACATTGCAACAAAGTGATAAGGTGCTATATTAAATGCAAGGATTATTATTATTATTTTCCCTATTGGAAACCTAACCCCCCCCCGCCCCCCCACCCCGATACCTTGCAATGATAAAGAGTTCAAAGGTGAGATACAACATGAACTAGAGACTCATTAAAGGCAGCAATAACAACTGCCTCAAATACAGTATTTTTTTAAAAAAGTACTACCTCATAATATTTTAATGGAATGCTTTTTACTGTCTTTACTTTGAACCCCAAAACCCAATCTCTTGTAGGCAAAAACAAAAAAGAGTCATCTGCAGAGTTCTTGATAATCTGCAGCATGTGGAGGGAAGAGTTGGGAAGGCCAACAAGCAGGGAGTTGGCATAGTCGAGCCTAGTTGTGATAAATGCATGCATGAGAGCAGAGCCGGGCAATGTTGCAGAGGTGGGGGAAGAGGTGGGTCATGGCATGGATGTGGGGTAGAACGTATAATTGAGGGTGAAACAAGACACTTAGGTTCCTGACTGGCTTAGTGAGGTGGAGTGTGCATTCATGCAAGATGATACTGCCAGTGCCTGATGTATGGAGACGATGGCAGGAGCCAATCAGGAGAGCTTCGGTCTGGTTGATGTTCAATTGTAGAAAGTTAGCTCTCATCCAGGACTTGATGTCTAACACACATTCTGTCAGGACAGGAGTGGTCTTGGTGTCGAGGGTGGAGGCAGAGATATAGAGTTAGGCGTCATCCGCATACATATGGAAGTTGATCCCATGTCTGCGATGATGTCATCAAGAGGGAGCATGTACATGTTGAAGAGGAGAGGATCAAGGACAGAGCCCTGAGGAATGCCGCACAACACAGTGTAGGGGCTGGAGGAGAAGCCGTTTTTGGAGACAAAGTGGAGACAGTGTGAGAGGTAGAATCCAAATCACTCAAGGGGAGAACCTTGGAAAATAATAAGACTGTATAGGACCAGAAAAAAACTCCTTTGCTTTGGCTGGTGATATAATACATTCCATTAGAACTAATTATCAAAATTCAGTAATATACAATGTTTTACTTTCATACAATTCTACTCAGTAATAACCTATATGAAGCCATTTGAGGTTCATTCGAAAATTGCATGCTACCATATTTAGTTATTCCAGTTCATAAATTATGACATAACCACAGGTACAAGTATGTTTTAAAGGTCATTTGTTTCTTTAGAAGTCATTTGATGTCAAGCATTATTCCTTCCAAACTAATGGTGATGCAGGGAAAGTGTTAACCAAATAAAAAAGATGCATCTTCTACAGTTATTGAGTAATGATTAACAAGGTACTTCAAGCAGCTTGCATCTTTGAGACACTGCACATAAAACCTATCAGTAACTGGAAGTTTTACACATCACATTCATTTTTTAAATGGATTACTCTTTAGAGAAAACATGATACCATCTTCCCAATGCACCACAATGTGCAAACTGAATCACAAAACCCAATTTTCTCTCAATAATAATTGCAATTTAGTCACTTAAGATTTACGGTTATAATTGGCTCCTGATTGGCTTGTGCCAGCGCCTCAGCACCTCAGGCACTGGCAGCATCAGCATCCACGGTTGCAGACTCCACCTCCCAAGCCAGATAGGAACCTGGGTGTTTTGTTCACATCTTAACTATCCTTTCTCCCCCATATCCTTGAGCAGAGTGCCCAGCAGAGTGAGGAGCGAACAGAGTAAGTAAGGTGGAAAC